CGACGGCCGCCGCCCCCCGGGCCGGCCCTCGGAGGCCGCCAGAGCCGCAGGCGGAGCGGGGCCGCGCCGAGGCCTAGAGCGGGGAGCGCCGCCCGGCCCGGAAGCGGCGGCGGCGGCGCGGCCTAGCGCGGGGCCGCTTACCCTGCATGCTGCTGACGGCCGCGTGCGCCGGCGGCCCGCCCGGGCCCGGCCCGCTCCCTCCGCCCGAGCCGGAGCCGCTGCTGGGGCTGGGAGTCGCCATTGTGCGCGCCGGAGACGGAGCGGCGCGGAGCCTGCAATGCAGCAGGGACCCTCCCAGGCAGGACACCTAGAGCCCCGCCGCCGTATAGCAGGCGCCGGAGCCTCCCCGTCCGCCGTCCGCCCCCGGGCTGGGGCTCCCGCTTAACCCCTCCCAGGCGGGGTGCCCGCGGCCGCCCAGGCTGCGTTCCGCTGCGGCGGCGGTGCGGGCCCGGGCCGCTGCCTTCCCCGTGAGGCCGACGGCCGGGCCCGGGGTCTGCCGCCCCCCGCCCCGCTCCTCGCTTCCAGGGCGGCCCCTCCCCGCCGCCGTGCCCCTGCCCCGCGCCGCCGGGCCGCTCGGCGTTGCGTACTGCCCGCCCGCCCCCACGTCCTCCTTCGGAGCCACCTCCGCTCCCTTCCCCCGGGGGGCAGCGCTCGGCTGCGGGTGCCAGACTGCCAGGCGAGATAAATGCAATGAGGAGAGCTGAAGAAAAGATGGGAAGTCAAGTCCCCAGGGGACTTCGTCTGGGTCAGTGGGGACAGGGCAACAATGCAGCTGCAGCACTGGTCAGATGGGACCTGAGTAAAAGCCTTGGTTTAAAAGCAGCACAGAAAGGAAGAATTCAGGACCCCACCTGAGGATTCTTCCAGCTTTTTTTTTCTTTTTTTTTCTTCAGTGTTACAAAGCCAGCTGATGCTGCTTTTGAAAAGCTTTCTTTTTTCACCCATGTGAACTTATGTATAGAGTTAAAGGCCTGAGTGGGGGTCACGTGTAGTCTAGTCTCTGGCACTGAAGACATCTCCCCTAATTCCACAACTTTCCTTTCTCTTCCCTCTCCTTAAGCTTTCTCTTCTGCTCTAACCAAGAGTGCAAGCTCAAAGCTGACATCTTATAAGTCACAATAAAGAAACCAAGTGCCTGCTGGAAAACAGTCAGAAGCTGACAGTTGCCTGCCACCTCTGCTTCAGGTCACCTGCATCTGGTTTGCATAGGTAAAGATTATACTGCTTATCTTGTTTTGCCCTGCAAATCTAGGAGGATCAACAATATCTGTCCTAAGAAATGTTTGAGAAACTTGTTCTTAAAGACCCCCAGTGATGGAGATTGCATCATCCCCCAGCAATCTGCTCTGTCACTCTACTATCCAGACATTAGCTGAAAGCCTAATTTAAGCTTTTTTGTCTGAGCTGAAATCCTTTACATCCCTTCCTGTTCACTACAGCAATACAAGACAAGTAATTCCCTTCTTTGAAATGACCTCTAAGGCAATTGGTGACTGTTTCCCTTCCCCTTTTTACTCTGACTTTCTCTTCTACAGACTGCATCAATCCAATTCTTTCAGCCTTTCTTCATGTTTTCTGTGCCTCCCAGAATCTCCACTGTACTCCTTTGACTTCCTTCTGCGTTCTTCTGCGTACGATCTGCGTTTTTTTTTAAATAGTGTCCTGTCTAGGCACACTACTGCAGCTTATCCTGCTTTCCAGGATGGCATTTGCCTTTACTATCACCAGTGTTCAGCTTGCTCACCATTATACCTCTAGACTCTCTTGAAACCCTCTATCTAGCTGTTCCTTCACCAGTATTTGTGTTGCTCATCATAATACTTGAGGCTGTACCCGTTGAATTCTGGCTCTTTCCACCAATTGTCAGTTTGGCACCGAACACTGCTGGTTTTGTTGCCATGGTGTGGATTTAGGGTTATCTGTGGAGTTTATAAGGTACTCTCGAGTGTGAATCATCCAGGTAAAGAGAACTGGAGTCAGAATGGAAAATACTTTCCATATGTTCTTCCATTCTAACAGTCACTGATAATTAGCCCTCGAGGTACAGTTTTCTCACCAGAGTAGTCATATCTTCAGAGTCAGGTGAGCTGATGTTAAAACCTAACTAAAGTTAACATACATAGACCTACTACTTTTGACTATGATAAAATAATGATTACAAAAACTGTGTTATGCTGGAACATTAGAGTTTTTTGCTGAGAAGTTCATGATGGCTGTGCAATGCTTTGTTATATTCCAGGTACATACAAGTGCCTTGTTCAGTGGGATCCTCCAGAACTTTGTACTGGGGTACTGAAGGTCTTTAGAATTATAGAAAGCATCTGGCAAAAGCATAAGGTAGGTCAGTTTGTGTGAGCACTGCAAAATAATGAGGTAGGAAAAGGGTTGTTAACATAGGATTAAAATAAGGACAAAAAGGAGGCTTATCTATTAAACAGTTCAGATGTTCAAATTCTGAAGTCAACAAAGCAGTGAATACAAGGTTCTTTTCCTTCTCCCTAAGGCAGGTTCCATCCTTCCATCCTCATGGGACACGACCCATCAATTAATGCAAATAAGGCCAAAGCCTGTACGGCAGTTCACTGCGTAGTCATGCATTTATCTCCAGTATTTTCCCTATTTCAGCTTCAGTCAGGATCTTTGGACCAGGAATGCACTAAGTCCTCCAAGCCCTTCCTCATTCCACCTTTCCACCCAGACCAGTTTTGATCCAACCAAAACCAATCTATGGCCACTCACGGTAGCATCATCAGTGTCTGCAAGGATGAAAGCTATGGTGTAGTCACTGGAATGGGTGACTCTGTCAGTGTGTGACAAAAGGGCCAACTGCTCTACACTGAAAGAATTTATTGCTTTGTCTCGATAGACATTACTGTCTGAGCTCTTCTGTGGGATGTACAAAGAGAAGCAAGCAGGTTATGTGCCAAAATACCAAAAATCTTGTTTTGAAAGGCAACAAAAATCTCTCATTTGACTCCAGAGAAGAGCAAGGTCTGGGAAACAACCTCAGGCAATGCACCAGGAGCCCTGCTGTGCATGGCAATACGGGAAGATGAGTGGCCGAGTCAGAACTGGTGTAGTGATGTGATTCGATGTCTTTGTACCATGCTTTGTTGCAAATTGCATATAAACTGCTACAAAAATTCATGGTCGTCACTCATTTCCCTAATGGATGAGGGAGGTCTCGGGATCATAACACTACTTCAGTGAAACCCTTGTAAACCTGCCCTTGGGTCCTGCTTCTTCCTCAGTTATGGAATGTCCCAAGTTAGCTTTGTGACAAGTGACATGTCTGGTGCAGGTTCTTGGGCAACAGCATGGCACTCCCAGGATCGCAGGTTGGCTGTCTGGTCTGCCCCTCCAGCACTTTGAGTAAAAGCTTCTGTCCTTCGGTTGGAGTTCCCTAGATGAAGGCAAGCATGGGTTTCTACCAGCTAAGTAACAAACTCCCAGACGTATAACAAGGAAGAACGTTTCATCTCACATTGAACCAATGTTTAAGTTGCTCGAATCATACAGACGTACTGAATGTTCTTGGCCTCCCTCTTATGGGAGAAAGCAGTATTGCTGGAAACTCATTCCATTCGGAGAAAGTCTCTTCAGTCCGTGTGGGTGGTTCCAAGTGTTCATGATCGTTGGTAAATCTTTGAAGTAAACAAACTTGGACTCATTTTTGCAGTAAGTACACCAAGTGCTACAGATCTGTTACATTTATAAAATACGAATGATTAATTTTGAATCAGAGCAGCCAAGAATAAGACAGCCTGATGAAACAGAGATGCAACAGAAACAGAGTTTGCAAGTCAATCCCCTCCTCTCCCCCACCTTCTCAAGAGAGGGGTCTTTCACACTCTCTTGCTCGTGTCACTGTGCTTTGCTAACTCACAGATAGACAGCCCCCACGCAGCCCCTTCCAAGCACCCAGGAGATGCTGCTCTTCACCAGTTTAGCAGCCCCCCACCTCACTGCTCCCTTCTTGGTAGCTTCCCCTAGGGCAGTGGAACACACAGCTGAGCTGATCTCAGATCCCACTGCTGCTTGGTAAGGCAGCAGAAATCATGTCCCACTCCACGCACAGCCCTGATACTGCCTCTCTGACTGTTTCTCTGCCTTCTGTCCATGGCTTTCTCCCAGCTACTCTCCAGAAGCTGCTGCTTCCCCTCTGTGACATGCCAAGCAGCAGCTCTCCCTGCAGCCCAACCACGGCCTTGGTGCAGGGGTGTGCAGTGAGTTGTGATCAGTCAAACAGATCAGTCAGAGCTCATCCCAGCTAAGTTTTCGTTTTGCAAAATCGGCTAATATGGAGAAAATGGACAGAAATTCACACTTTTGCTTCCCAGCTGAAAAGAGGTAGTGTACAGACTCTGTTTTTATTTTCCCATCATATAAATTGCTCTAACAAAAGATACTCTATCTTAACATTCAACTCTCTTTATTCTTCCTAGCAGCACTATTACATTTTATCCAGCTGGAAGTCCTTGACATTTCTCTTTTATAGCCTGAAATACCCTCCCCTTTCTTAGCAAATACATTCAGAAGCCTGGCCTGGACCTGGAAATTAAACATAAAAACTAACAGCTCTAGTACTGTCCAGACGGCTGTGCAGAGAGGTGACTGTTCCAAGCCATTACTTCTCATTGAGCATCCTAACTGTTGAATGATTTCAGTACACTGCCCCCTGTACTCACTGCTGGAGCTCAGCTCTTCCAAGGTGAAAGGAATGGACTGAAGATCTGGTAGCAGAGGTTGCAACACAAACTTGACTGAGTGCTCTCTGGCCAGGTCTTACATCCTTAAAAAACATGAACCAAGGAATTAAGCATTGTTCCTGCTGCCTCACCAAGGGGATTCAGCTCCTTGGAGACTTACGGAAAATTTGCAAGGACATTTTGCCTGTTTCTCTTGGAAATACACAGTTCAGGCTGGGTTTGCTGAGAGGAAAACAAAGTGTACACATCCTGCTGCACTGTAATCCCTGAGCTTTTCTCTAAGGATTGGTAACCTCTTCCTGGAGTGCTTGTTAATAGGAAAGTTGTACACTTATGGGCACCTGTGGAGATCAGTTTAATTTTGATGGGCTTCAAATCAATTTAAATGTCGAGGGGGATTTAGTTATATTGGATGTGGCCTGCTGTTCTGCCTGCAGCTGCCAGCAATTGTTTAAGATACAGAATAAAACAATTATTATGAAACATAAAGCCTACTCAGCGGAGCTCTAACAATGGCAGCCATTTACAATGAGAGCTCTTGCTTCTTTGCAACATACTGTGCAGCAGTTTAATTTCTCATAACCTGTACAAGAGAAGACTTAGCTAAAAATAGCAGGACTAGATGAGCAGTCATCCCCTTCACAAATGCACTCATATGTCTTCCATATTACAGTTTGGTGAGATGCGAGTGGAGTTGAACACTGCTACAGCAATCAGTGGGACAAACAGCCCAACATTTGGTAACTATCACTTTGGGAGATAAGTGATCAGGAAATGATGAGGAAGTACTGTTTTTCTGAGCAGTACTCTTTTTGTTCTCCAGGCAATGCAAAAAAAAAAAAACAAACAAAAAAAAACAAAAACAAAAACAAAAACAAAAAAAAAAACAACAAACTGAATCTCTTTTTCAGTACAGAATGAATCCTAGACCATAGGGTCTATACAAAAATAGTGATTTAAATCCCAGCATGCTGGCTGGGAAAAGCATAAAGCTCCTTTTATCCCCAACTAGATATTACTCCTCATTACTTTGGGCTCTTCAAATCACAACATTCCCAAGCTGTGATACCCAGAACTGTTTTATTTCATGGCTCCGGGGAGATGGGAGATACATGTGAGATGCTCTCAAGTAATTACAAGACCTTCTCTTCTGTGAATCCAGATGCCAGTATCTTCATTATTTCTACAGTACACAAAAAGTCATGTTTCAGATACCTGCTACTACATAAATCTTTCTTCCATGTTGACTGCGTGTAGAGGTGGGCCCACAATGTTCTTCATGACTAGACAGTGGTTCTCAACTACAGGGAGGAACCAGACTGCTGCATTCACAGAAGCTCCTTACTTTGTCTTGCTTATGCTGAAAAATCAATATCTAGTCTTCCATAATCCTTCTTGACCAAGATATCCCTGAAAACAGCAGCAACAGCCCGTCTTGTACCTTCCTGTCAGTGTTGGCCACTCCCCAAGTGACAGGAGCTGGGAGGGACAGCACAGGGCAAAGGATCATAGAATCATAGAATCATGGAATCATAGAATCACAGAATCGCTCAGGTTGGAAAACATCTTAAAACTCATTGATTCCAACCACGACCTACCCAAACTACCTAACTAACAGCCCTCCACTAAATCATGGCCCTGAGCACCACATGCAAATGTTTTTTAAACACATCCAGGGATGCTGACTCAACCACCTCCCTGGGCAGCCCATTGCAGTGCTGAACAACCCTTTCTGTAAAGTTTTTCCTGATATCCAACCTAAACTGGCTCAGCTTGAGGCCATTTCCCCTCGTCCTGTCACCAGTGAGCAGAGACCAGCCCCGCTCTGCTGCAAGCACCTTTCAGATATTGGAAGAGAGCAGTAAGGTCTCCCCTCAGCCTCCTTTTCCCCAGACTGAAGAGCCCCAGTTCCTCCAGTCTCTCCACATAGGCCACATTCTCCAAGCCCTTCACAGCCTTGTTGCCCTTCTCTGGACCTGCTCCAGCACCTCCATGTCCTTTCTGTACTGAGATGCCCAAAACTGAACACAGCACTCGAGGTGAGGCCTCACCAGTGCTGAGCACAGGGATAAAAGGGAGATACCAGCTAGGGCTTCTTCTACCACCTCTGTGTGGGGTGAGCAGTGCAGGCCCAGGAGCTGCAGCCAGACCCAAATGAGAGTCTGAGCCACCAGGGAAGTCCTTGATGACAAGGCAGGTCTAACATCAAGCTGGGCAGTCAATCTACAGGTGATGGCCAGGCAGATCCATGGTGGTGTGACAGGTTACGTCTGTGAGTCAATGATTGGCTCAACAGGCACACAGACCTTCGGTGAGCTGGAGATGGGCAGTCCTGGGGCAAGGCTGCTCAGTGCTCAGGCAAGGCTGTTCTTGTAAGGGCTCATACATTTTGATAACTACAGAAATCACAGAATCATTTAGCTTGGAAAAGACCTCTTACATCATCAAGTATGTCTGTTAACCCAGCACTGCACCGCATTTGCACATCTTCAAAATACCTCCAGGGGTGGAGAGTTTGCAGTTCGCTTCACTGAAGTCTTACCGTGCACGTTTTCATGTTTATTTCCTGTTTATTTCCTCAGACAATTATCTACTTTTCCTTCCTGGTACACGATTTATTGCAGAAACACGAAAATGCTGGCACGAGGGATGTCAGGACGGCTCCAGTCCATCACCCCACCCGCAGCAGGATTATCGGCACCAGCAGCCCAGAGCTCAGCCCAGCCAAGCCTCGGAAACCTCCAGGGTTTGAGGTCCCACAACCCGCCGAGACACCCGCTGCCGGCCGCGCGGCCCCGGCAGGACGAAGGGCGGCCGGCCCGCCCCCCGCCGGAGGCGGAGAGCCGTGCCGCCATGGCGGGGCTGCCGTGGAGGCTCTGCAACCTTCTTATGGCCGCCTTCTTCGGGCTGGCGGCCGTCGTGCAGGTGAGGGCGGCGGGCGGGACGCCGTCCCAGGCCGCGGCGGAGCTCGGGCTCGCGGCCTTACCGCGCTCCGGCGCGGCGCCGGCCCCCCGCACGCCTCTCTCCTCCGCGTCCCGCCCGCCGAGCCCGGCCCGGCCCGCGCGGAGGCTGCAAGGGCTCAGGGTGCGCTTCCTCGCCGCAGGTGAACGATCCCGACGCTGGGCTGTGGGTGGTGAGTACGGCCTGGAGCCCCGCGGGGCTGAACGTGGGGCCCTCGCGCTCGGCTAGCGGCAGAACGCGGAAAGCGCCGGTCCCGCCCGCCCCGTTTCGCCTGCGCTCGCCGGGGCTCACCGGCTCGGTTGGCTCCCGCCAGCGCGGGCCTCAGCGGGGATCCCGAACTCTCAAGAAAGTTAAAGAAGACTCGCTCTCTTCTGTCTACTGCTGTCGTTCTCAGGAGCGGCCGCCAGTGGTCCTGGGGCGGCGTGAGCGGGGCTTGGAGCCGCAGCTGCCAGAGGTGTCCGTGGGTGGCGGGAGCCGCGGGTGGGTCCGTGCCCCTGCCGTGCCCCTGCGCTCCCCGCACATCCCTTAAGCGGTGAGCCCAGCTGGCAGTGCCGAGGCCGGGATGCAGGAACGAGGCTGCTGCTGTTCCCACCCGGCACGGTCGGGGAGTGGGGAGCAGTTCCTCGCAGGGCCTTTCCCGAGGGGAACCACAGTGCAACCTTGGAGCTGGAGCACGAGTTCTGGTGCTTGGCTGACCTCCTCCGGCTGTGTCACACAAGGATTTTGGGTGGCAGGTAGGGGAGCACTGGGTTTTTCCTGCACACAGGGTAGTGCTAGCAGTACTGGGGAATGCGGAAGGGAGAGAGCTCTACAGCTGCTTTGTGCATCTCAAAAAATGTTGTGGAGAAATTGCTGTGGGTGACTACATCTCCTTCCTTAGCTTGCTAAGTTTGTGTTTGATTAATAGGTTGTCTACTTGGTGCCGGCTGCCCTTACGCTGTTTGTTGTCCTTAACCCTTTGGTAACAGGTATGATATCAGTGTGTAAAACAGAATCTCTGCTCAGATTTTGCCCCTGAAAAGTTTGTTTTCACTGAGTCACAGGTCAGGTTGTATGGACATGTGTCCTGCTACGTTTTGTGTGCAGAAAGCTGAGGGACCTGCTTCTGCTGAAGGTAGTATTAGTATTTGTGATTGGAAATGCTGCAAGCAAACACAGGAGCCCTACTTAAAGGGCTGCCACAGGGTTGGTCTTACCACTACACCTTTATTTAAGCACTCATGCAACAAATGGAGCACAATCCTGGGAGCATGTTCTGAACCTGGCTCTGTTGTTGACCTTAGTACATAGTTTAATTCATGCAGTCTCTCTGTTGTAAAGTTGGGTTTTTGCTTACCTGTGTCATATACAATTATACACTGAGGACTAACCTATATGAGGTGTTGAAATAATTGTTCAGATTAGATATGGTCCAGGACTCCAGAAAATAAGTTTTAATTTTTAAATGACTGTTACAGAAAAACGTAAGTAAGAAAACTCTCCAAACCAAAAGATAGTTTAGAAAGCCAACACTTGTTTTTTGCAGTGCTGGGTGCATGGGGATCCTTCCACAAAGCATGCATATCCCAGAGCTAGATCACCCTCACTGTATGCAATATTCATGCACTGTATGCATGAATATTCATACAATTCCCATGAAGTTCTTGCCTACTCTCAGGATTGCCATACATGTTAAATCCAACATTGCACCTGCCCTGTTCAGTCAAGGGGTTCTTGCAAGGGATCTCTTAGTTGGTTTCGTAGTTTACCTGTAGGTAGCACTGATGTTGAAATACACAGACTGCGCTTTGGAACTTCTTTCTCTCTTAGATTGCCCCTTGTTGCCTTCCCACAATGTTTGTACAAAGGGACCTGTTTTTTGAATTACAAACTGAATTGTTTAAATCTTTGGTATCATGACTATTGTCAATTAAAGTAACTGTATCTTCTCTGAGTGAATGTTTAATCTGATTTGAAACTACGCTTCTACCAGAAGAGAGAATCTTCAGGAGTACAGTCATTGTCACAAATCACACCATTACAGTTTTCCACCTTAAGCATACAGTGTGGCACCATTCATAAAACCAGAACCTATGAGAATCACTGCCTGCGTTTTCAGACATTTCAGGGGAGGCTTGCAGTAGGTACAGCCTCAACATAGTTGAGGCATTCAACTGGTTAGGAGAATCTGCAAGCTAATTTACAGGTATGTTACTTGCACCACAATCTTTAGGAAATCAAGATTAAAACTGCACAACTGTTGTGTAATTTGACATTATGTAAATTCAACAAGTGGTCTTTGTCACTCAGGCCTATGGAACCTCTAATGCAGCCTCTGCAGAGCTGCAGTGAGTTTGGCCAAATTATTAGTTTATAGTGTTATTATGAAGTTAGGTCACAATGAACTCTTGAATTTTGGCAGCCCATCATTTTTCATGCTTGCCTGGAGAAGTCAGTGCCTAGGAAAGACTGCTTTTGACTTCCCAGTGTTTGCTATGGATGTTGCTGAGATCATCTGGAGCTCAGCATGTGCCATTTCACCTCTCCTCCTCGAGGAAATGGACATGGAAAGCGAGAAGAAACCGTGGGTCCATTCAGATTTTTCATGTCTCTGTTTCTCTCTCTAAAACATTAGTCCCCAGCCCCGAGGCAGAGATGTCATGTTGCTCATGGTCACTGGCAAAAGGTCAGAGGGGGGCTTGTCAGGGAGCATGGAGGCAGATGCTCCTTGTGCCATGGCATTAGCACTGCTGGTCAGAGCTGTGAGCGTGCACTCCAGAAGAGCTGTTTCTCCTAATTAAGCAAACTCCCATTTGTAATCTGCCTTCTGATTTTCTGTGCATACTGAACGCTGGAATATGTTTTGCTTGCTTAGGCTAACAGGAAACCGTTTTCTTTGCAGCACTGCTGCCAAGAAGTTGCATTCCTGGGAAAGGAAGACCCCAGCTTGCTAGTGTACAATTTCAACAGCGCTTTCTAGCAGCTTTCCATAGTCATACATGGTATTAATTCTGTCTTCCTGCCTAGGGCATATGTGCTGCAGGCATTTCTGTTAGCAGCTTAGTTACTCTTCAATTCACAGAATGTACTTCATGCTACATTGCAGTTTCTGCCAGCTTATTCTTTTCCTCAGAAAACTTTTTTTGGAGGAGCCTCTGTGACCTTCATTCTGCTGGCTGTATTATTGGGGCCATTTCCTTGGCTTACTCTTTGTTTGCATATACTCAAGGAAACATCTTGCATGAAGAGGAGGGCAGGTAAGTACTGAATTCCCCTGAAAGACTTCGGTACACCAGGCTGTCTCCCAGTGGGTCACATTGCTAAGCTCTGTTGGACTGCTGCAGTGGTGCTGTTGGTTCTGGTAAATCAAACCAAGGAGGAAGGAATACAGCATTACAAACCAGCTATTTGTTGGATAAAAGGACTGAAAGGCAGCCATGAAGGATCATGCCTGAATCCTACCCAACTGAGGCAGCTAGATTTAACTGGGGACAGTTCTGGCTTTCAGAGACCACAGCACAGTACTGTGAAATAGCTGTGTGTTGTGCTACAGGAGCTGTACAAATAGCATTTAGTGGTAAAAACTCTTGAGGGGATACCATTTCTGTGCTTAACTGTCACAGGCTGCTGAGTCCTCTGAATTGCTGGGTACCAAGGAGGAGGAAGGATCTTTCACCTGGATATTCCCTTGATTGCTTGGCTAAACTGGGTGCTTGCTCAGCAGAGGGGAAGCAGTAGCAGCTAGCACTTCTTTTTACAGTGAGGAGTAGTGCAGTGTTGCTTTGCTATATATACTGATGAGGGAAATGTGCTATAGAAGTTTATTTTTATATTTAGTATATTTTTATAAAGTTATATTTTCACTTTTTTATAGTTAAGTTTATTTTTATATATGTGGGGTTTTTTTTAATAGAAGGGATTTTTTATATTAAGTTTAGCAATGGAACAAAAGCAGAAGCAGGAATTTCTGCAGCTGTACAGCTGAGTTGTGTGTTTGTAGATTTGAGGTGGGAAGCAGTACTGTAATTATTTGAAGTGCAGTCCCTATGACATATATTTAACATCTCCAAAGGGAGACAGCCCATACTTACCCTATTCTTTTGGAGGCAATTTGCATTTTTCATAAGCAAGCAGATGTTTCTGTTATTTTCTGATCTAGTTTTTGTTTGGCTTTCTAGAGAGTTGTTTGGTCTGGTGATCATTACAACATGGATGAGTCTTTGTCGCAGTTCAGCAAAGTAAGTTTTTCTTAATTCACTCATATGTTCAGATTTAGTGAGTAGCTTCTTGGAAACCTGTAGGTGATTTTGGCTGCTTGTTCTTCTACTTCACGTTTTGATGTTTGTGTGGAGCTCAGCTTTGTTGGATCCTCTCCAACTCATCATGTTCTGTGATTTTCCCATTCATGTTACCGTCTAAATCTTAATCCTCAACAGCAGTATTTGGTGCTGCAGCTTGTAGGATCCTTTACATCTAGAAGTCTGCAGAAGTGGGGGGAAGGAAAACTTAAAACATTTTTTTTCTTGCTTCTTCTGCAATAATGAGCAGGAGACACATTCCCCTTTTGTACAAAGACAGTGTGCTCTTTCTGTGGAACAGGCCAGTGAACATGAGCCACTACTGCTAATGAAAGCTACAAAACCATTTCTACCATTGCTCCCAAATTAAGAGCTTTCCAGTGAGTGCTTTGTCTAATGGGGTCTGCTGCATTCTACCAGCACGGACAGGGGGGCAAGTGCTTTCCCTTCCAGCCTCTCTGGAGATCTGTATTACAGCAGTTTCACTAAATTAATTTGTAACAGCTGGGAGCATGATAAGTCTCAGGCTGCCAAACAATATTTTGTAACGTTGAAACACGCAATGTGCTCTGGGCAGTGCTTTTGTCGCCTGTTTCACATAGCCTGTGAAGGTGGCAGAACACATTTCTGCTGGCATATGGTACAGCTCCACTAAAGACTCTGCTGATGCAGCTACAGAAGCTACATAGAGATGATACAGCGGCCAAAGGCTCTCTGCTGTCTTTAGCGAACCACAGCCACGGCAGTGGTAGCAGTCTGAATTGAAACTGCACTGTTGCATTTGCTTCTTTGTAGGAATCCGCTGGGTGGAATTCATCTGACTGCTGCGATCTTGGTTGCTCTCTTCCCCTTCGTTTCATGGCTGTACATTTATGTGAACAAAGAGATGCGAGAATCTTGGCCAGAACACTGTAAAACTGTGATTTGACCGGGTGGAGACAGCACATAAATAAATATTCTGACCTTATTTGCTGCTGCTTTTTGGTTCTTAATGAAAGGTTAGTATCAGTCTGACAGGACAGGAATGGCCGGCTGCTTCCCACAGTGTGGCTTGAGGCTTCCAGGAAAAAAAAAAAGAAGAACATTGTCAAATTTAAGGGGAGAATTTTTCTATGGATACTGTTCAGCCTGCTTCTTTGGATGTTTTCAAAGCACCCTTGACCTTCTTGTGATATAAGATTAATTATTCAAAATATCTGGGCATCCCCAGTTCAGTCTCTCCTTCCACCTTGTATCTGGGAAAGCTACTGTTCTGTAACATTAAGGGAAAAGTAGATCAAACACTTTGTTTCAATAAATGACTCATTATGGATATAAAACTTGAAAGATGTCTGACAAGATACTCCACTGAGATTTGCTGAAAGGTGAACCAGTCTGTTTCTGTTCCTATGCTAAAATTGTAAGTGGAATATATCTAAAGCAATATTTTTGCTGTTACCTTTAACTGAAAGTCATGGTTTTGACAGAGTAGTAAATACTATTTTTCTAAAGAAAACCAAGTGAAAGCTTCTTTATTTTCTGCAAAAAGCATGCTCACAGAGTGCCGCCAGCAGACACAGTCACTGTTACAACCTGCTTCTCAAAGAATTTCTGTTCTTGGAAATCAGAACTCGTACAGCAGCCCAGAGACAGTAAGCATGCTCCATCATCACTGGTCATGGAGAAGCACGTGCAGGTGAGCGTGAATACTCAGGCTGTGGAGACAGCATGGATCCAGATGCAGCACAGCACCACGCTTCGAGTCATCCCCAGTCAGAGCTCAGAGCTTGTTTCCCTCAGTGCTGCTGCAGGCCAGGGATACACACGTATCCCACCTGCTATATCTGCAGCATTACACGATGCCATAGTTTTCCTGCCTTTATTTTATTTTAAAGCTTGGGCCTCTCTGCACTGTGCTCTGATGTAGCATAGACAGTGCCCATTTTCATTGGCTTCACTTTTTTCAAAATGACTTTAGTCTTTTAAAGCAGCATTAAGAAGACTGCTTTAGGCTACAGCTTGGACTTTCCAGCTAGATGTATGTAGCTGCTTCTGGGTGGGTACAATTTTAATGCTTTAAATCTGACTAAATCAGGTATATCCTGGAAAAACAAAACTACCACCTAGTGGCTTTTTGTTTGTGTTTTTTTCACAATGAACAGCAATCTGTTCAGGACTGGGTGGTTAAGTCAACATTCTGCATTCTTCAAACACGGTTACTGGCCTTCTCTATTCTCCAAAAAGTTAAATCTTGTTCCTTACAAAAACATAATTTTTAGAGTTCTGTATCTGAGAGAGAAACATGAGAGTTAAAACTGCAAGCATCAGACATGTAGATCTTTCTACAAGCAAAGAACATGCTGGATGCCATACTTTTTAGTCTGAGTACTTCCTAAAGGAGAAAAGTTGGCAGTTAGACATCTGCTTGGCATTTTCAGAAACACATCACTCTGTCTGAAATTCTGCCCCTTCCCTTTAATACCATTTTATCATCATAGACATAAATAGTTCCAAAGGCATTGCTTTCAGGTGGAGTTTCAATAACCCCCTCCAAAGTAAGATGATGAACACCATGTGAGTCTAAACAGTAGCCACCATCGTGCAGGTGCCCTGCAAGAAAGCAGACCACACACTGATGAGAGTGTATGACAGAAAGAGCATCTCTGTAATTCCAGGCTAGGCAAACTTTGTCTGAAGCATCTGGGTGAATGGGCAGATGACCTGCAGCAGAGAGGGAAAGAAGCAGAAAAGTTACTTAACACATAACAGAATCACCAAGGTTGGAAAAGGCCTCAAAGATCACCCAGTCCTACCATCCACCTACCATCACTATACCTCATCTCTCAATACAACATCTTGAACACATCCAGGGATGGCGTGCCCTCCCTGGGCAGCCCGTTCCAGCGCCTGACTGCTCATTTGGAGATGAAATTTTTCCTAACCTGATTCCTACCTGAATCTCCCCTCCAACAAGAGGCCATTCCCTCTTGTTCTATTGCTAATTACAAGGGAGAAGAGGCTGACAACCACCTGCAGGAGGTTATGGCAAGGTGGGAGTTGGCCTCTTCTCCTATGTAGTGCCCAGTGCCTATACATCCTTGTTTGGTGATTCTCTATATAAACAGAACCACTTTAGTTTGGAGTGCAGGAAAAATCAGGGCATCTGTAAAGTTCTCGTATTTCATTTCTTTCTTCCTTTCAAATATCTTTTATCTTCTTTATACAGCATCTTGATTTCAGAATATTAGGTCCCAGCTCAGCAATACTCAGACGCTGCCAGATTGCTTCTGGAGGATTGTGGATACCCCATCCCTGGAGGCATTCAAGGCAGGCTGGATGTGGCTCTGGGCAGCCTGGTCTGGTGGTTTGCGACCCTGCACACAGCAGGGGGTTGGAGCTGGATGATCATTGTGGTCCTTCTCAACCCAGGCCATTCTATGATTCTATGAATCAAACTGCTCCCAAACAAGCAGCTTTCCTGGGTGGGAAGCTCAGGCTGCTGCCTCTATCCAACAAGCTCATCCGAGTGTGAGACACAGCTGCTATTCTCCAACTACACCACTTACATATGTACCTGATACTACGTTTTCCTCTGCTAACTTGTATTAGTTTGCTTCGTAACCATTTTGCATATATCCTCCATCTCCACCTACCCATAACGACAACTTTTTCATGGTTTTCATCGGAGAACCTGAGTATGTCATCGAACCAGTCCAGCTGGGCTTGGCTAAATCCTCCATTGAATTCTACGAACTGAGGTTCTTCCAGTCCTGCGATGAAGAAGAAGGTTAGGCACACGTGCACGCACCTACTGTAGGTTCCTTATTTGCTTCCCTTCTATCATCAACGGTTTATCCTTCGGATTTCCGCGGCACCTCAGCTCGGGGCTCCCCGCACGAGGCCGGGCGCCGCTTTAGCGCCGCACCTCCCGAGCGCGGCGATACCTGCGGGGCTGTTGAGGTCCGCGTTGCAGTTCTTCTCCCTCAGCAGCCGCAGGGCCGCCCGGTGCCGGGGGCTGTCGGTGTCCCGGCCCAGCGGGCTCAGCTCGTAGCCGTCCAGCAGCACGAAGCGGAAGCGCGGCGCCGGGCAGAAGTGGTACGCGTGGCAATCGCCGGGCGGCGCGGCGGGCGGGCCGGGGCCCGGCGGCGGGCGGCTGCAGAGGCCGCTCTGCGCCAGGCGGGCCCGGGCGAAGTTGTACAGCTCGTGGTTGCCCCAGGCGTGGTGCACCGGCACCCGCAGCCGTCCCAGCGCCGCCAGCACCCGCGCCAGCGCCGCCTCCGCCTCGGCGGAGCCGCTCCGCGCGTTGACGCCGTCGATGCAGTCGCCCAGCTGCAGCACGAAGGCGGGCGGCGGCCGCTCGGCGGCCCAAGCCTCCACGGCGGCCCGCAGCAGGCGGAGGCTGTGCCGGTAGTACCGCCGGCGGCAGCCCCAGAAATCGCAGCCGTCCTCCGCGTCCGCGTACTGGACGTCCGCGATGACCCCAAAGGAGAAGCGCAGGGCGTCCTCCATGGCGGCCGCCGCCCGGGGCCGGAAGGGGCGGGCTAGAGGGCGGGGTGGGGTGGAGGAGCGGGCGGGCGGAATGGCGGCGTTGCGCGGCCCGCGCTGCTGGCGGCTGTGGCGGCCGTGGCGCCTCCCGCCCGGCGCCGCTGTCGTGTTCCCGAGCCGGATGCAGGCGCTGCAGGACCGGGCCGCGGCGCCGCTTCTGTCACTAGGGGCCGCGCCGGCACCGGGCTGCCGCTCCGCATCCCGATTGCCGCCCGGAAGCGGCCGCCGCGCAGCACCGCAGCGCACGGTGAGAACTTGGGGGGGGAGAATAGGAGGGGAGTTCTCGCTCCGGTCCCGCTCCCCCCGCCTCGGGGCCGGAACCCCGCCTGGCGAGGTGTGCGGGCAGCGCCCGGCCCCTGACCGAGCTCTCCCCCTGCAGCTGGTGTCCTGGCGAGCGCTGGGAGCCGCCCTCATCCTGTGCGGAGGGCTGCTGCTGGCCATGAAGAGGGTGAAGAAGGCGAAGGAGGAGAGTGAGTGTTTCCCGGCGGGGGGTCGGGGTGGAATCGTGGAGCCCTTCTCCGAATTGCTGCTCCTTTGCCTTCCTGCTTGCATTCTCACGTGCGCTGTTTCTGTCGCGTTCACGCTTTCTGCTCGGAGCCCCGCGAGGGGTGGGAGAACCTTCCGCTGCCCCGGGAGCTGCGGTTCTCTGCACGCATTTCCTCGTTTTTAATGCTGAAGTCTCACAACTGCCTGATGTGTTCGGTTCGTCAATGCGTACGGAGCCGGGCCACACAACTCTCCATCTCGTGCACCTGCGACAGCAGTGTGACAGTCCAGTGACGATGAACGATCGTTGTGGTTTTTGAAACATAGCGATCGGTACAGAAGTTTGGCTGAAGTGGAAGGCACTGCTTGGGAGCCTTTTCTGCTTGGGAGCTGTGCGCAGTGGGTGGCAGCAGGGCTGCCCCACTGCTGCTGCTCCGGGGCCTGACCTGCAGGGATGGGGCACAGATTGCAGTGTTGGAATTCACCTCCTCCTGCTGTTCCTGTAGAGCTGGAGAAGGAGCGGAACCGAGGCATCGGGAAACCGCTGCTGGGAGGGCCCTTCTCGCTTGTCAGCCACGAGGGACAGCCCAGGACCAACAGAGACTATCTTGGCCAGTGGGTGCTCATCTACTTCGGCTTCACGCACTGCCCCGACATTTGTCCTGAGGAACTGGACAAAATGATTGAAGTGGTCAATGAAATTGGTACGGGAATTGGGCTGTAGGAGGGCAAGGCTTATCGTGGTGACCTGTTGCCTGTGGGAGTAAATGCCTGTCTTAAAAAATGCTGTTAATTAGCATTCAGTAGTTGAATTAATTACTGAACAACACATAAATCAAGCTTCCTGTCTCTCGGATCAGGTGTTTGGGATGTGACAGCACTGACCTTTCTAGAACAGAGGATTTCTGTTTAATAAGGCATGGCCATGGCAGGTTACATGCACTCGTGTTCTGCACCAGCGCCCATCTGTCTTCTCCTCTCAGCAGGGCACAGCCTCCAGCTGGAGCTGTGCACAAGCACAGAGCGTTGGTTTTCATGGCATTTATTTACTTCTTTCAGAGATAGTATTATAGAAATTAAGCAACACCAAACAGCCTTTTTTCTTTGCTACTTAGGGAGGACTCAGGTGGATGTTGTAGCAATCTGCCTCTGACTGTGTTTGAAGGGATATTAGGAAATGGTTTTTAGGTTGCTAAGAAAAAAGTGTAATAGTTGATGTTTCTGTTCACAGATAGAATCCCGTCCTTGCCTGATCTGATCCCACTCTTCATCACCATTGATCCTGAGAGGGACAGTGAAGAAGCCATTGCCAGATATGTTAAAGGTACAGGTTTTTTTCTATCTTGGAGCTTTATAACAATCAGTAAAGAGTAATGAAAAGGAGGCTTCGAGAGGATTCTTTTCACTCGAATATCTAAGTGTCTTTTTTCTCTGTAGAATTTTCTCCAAAGCTGGTTGGATTGACTGGTACCAGAGCACAGATCGACCAAGTGGCCAAAGCCTTCCGCGTGTATTACAGCGAAGGTCCCAAAGATGAAGACAATGATTACATTGTGAGTAAATGTAGGGCCTTTGCCTAATGGAAGGTTTTGGTTGAGAATGGGATAAAGATTTTAATCAAAAGACAGCTGCTGTAATCTGTGCTGAAGCCCTCTGTGACAGAGCCCTGTTGCACCCACATCTTGAGCTGAGTTATAGAGGTGTGAACTGAGGAGCCCTCTTACGAGTTCAGCGCCTCACTGAAAACATAGCTCTTGGAAACATGCAGTCCAAGTTCTGCATGCAGAATGCATACGAGCTCTCAGGCTCATATGGCCTGATAATGAATTTAACTGTTTTTTTTTCATCACATAACCAATTTGATGGACTCTTTTCCCATGTGCTCCAAAGTGAAAATGGAACTGAGGAATTACAGATGATGAAATGCAGAGAAATCATGTGCAGCTTGGGAGGCCAGTGAGCTAGAAATGTTTGGAAACTGACAGATAATAGAGGAAAGTAGCACTTTGGTTTTGGTCTGATCCAGTGTTTTTATCCTTACCCTCATTTTTCAAACTGCCTGACTGCAGCAAATAAATTATGCATGTGGGCAAAAGACTGGTGGAACAAAAACGTTGATGCGTGTAAAGAAAAGGCAAAAGCAATGCACAGTCTCTGTAAAGGGAAGACAGTCACCATGGTAAACGTACTCATCTGGACTCCTAAAAGAGTGTCAGGTGGGACATCAAGAACCAGCTTTTGCTTGAAGTGTCAGCTCAGTAGCTAGACGGCAGTGTCCAAGACAGTATGTTTGGGTGCAGGGAGGAGATTGCTGGGGAAATTCAAAAGACATTTTATCAGTCTACTGTCAGTCAAAAGGTACTGCCTCAAATCAGATTTATGAAAGGGAGATGCAAGAATAGGAGGATTGGCAAAGAGTGTGGACTAAGTAGAGGGGAAAAAAGTCTGTCGAATCTTACACTGAATGTGTGAACAGAGTTTCAGAAGAGATGGAAAGAGGTTGCAAAAGCTGAAGGAGGGCTGCTGTTTGTGAATTAAATCACATATAGATTCTAGCAAAGCACTTACAGGTTTTAATACAGGGATCTCGCCATGGGAAAGAAGTGTGTAGATGAGAGCAGCTTCAAGGGAAGCTGGAAGGAAGAATAAAAAGAGACCATAACTACAAATGTTAGTAATTATGAGAAAGGATTCAGGCTCCAGAGAGAACAGCTGTGCTGTGCTGGGGTTGTGCTAAGCACCTGGAAGCCTGGAGTGTGAGAAGAGCAGTGGGAGACAGTGAGGAAGAAAGCAGTGAGTTTGGAGCAGAACAGCCTGAGAGCCGCAGCCGTGGTGCCACAGGGAGCAGTGTGTGTGCATCAATTCTGGCTGCAACTCCAGCGAGCTCTGCGTATTTGCTACAGGAAGGTGAGAAGACACGAGCCTCTGAAACCAACTGGAAAGAGGATAACAGCAACAGCAAATCTTGGAAGGACAGCTTTAGGCTGGTTTTGTGCCTGCCTGTCACCCAGGCAATTACTGCTCTGCCTCTTCTCTCAGTAAGGGCTTTTTTCCTCATTGTGTTGTGCACAGGGCTGCCTTCCAGTCAGTGAGTCAGCATGGTGCTTGTGCAGGAGCGAGCGCTGTGTGTTCTGTGTGCTGCTGAGCGGTGGGGAGGAGGCAGAGATCAATTCTCTGCTTGTTTTGGCTTGAAAAGAACATGGAGATGAACACTTACAAATAATCATTCCTAAACTTCTATTTATATTTTGCAAGTATTATTCGAATATCGATAGTTCCTATATAATAATCTCAATTTCGTAATTAATTACGGAGCGTGCAGTTTTTTTATCTTTTGCTTTATTTCATGGTTTGGAAGATTGCACTGAAAGTCGTACAGTGATCTTGTGCACTCATATAGTGGCAGTGCACCACAGCTTGAAAAGTAGTGGTCTCTTGGCTGTCCTTAACCTCCTGCAGGCACGGAGTTCAGGATCTATGGGCAGGCAGCCTGTTCTGGATTTGTGTTGGTGGTAGTCTCATCGAAGGGCAAGAAGGTTTGGATTATAATTCAAACTCCTTTAAAAGGTTCTGGTGTTTGATTTTGTGGTCATTTCTCATTTGATACCTAGAATAAAATATTTTAGTTAAACATACTTCAGTAAAATTTTAAGAAACACGAATGCCATTATGGAAAAGCTGTAAAATGTAATGCATCCTTTTAGCTTCTGATGCTGGAAATACTTATGCAGTTTCTTGGTTCCAAACACAGACCTGCTCTTGGTATGTGAGTGCATCTGTGTCGTTTTTGTTCAGTGGCACTAAGGTTATGTACTCACTGCAGATTCCTGGCCTCCATTTTCAGTTTATTATGTCTTTTCTCATAGAGGTGCTGTCACGGATCACCCAGAGATGTTTTAAAGATACTTAAAATGAAATTATTTTTAATATAAATAAAATTGGAGTACCTCACACTTCCAAACCATTGTTACTGTTAATTTTTTTCAGGTTATTTCAAATTCTGTCCCATTATCTCTCTCAGACTCCGTGTGGTGTCTGCAGATGCCATCACAAGGAGCCAGCAGAGGGAACCCTCTCCCAGCACGTGGTGTTTCCCTGCACGCCGGCTCCTGTGTCTGCAGCTCCTGTGTCCCAGTGATGCCCTTGGTCCCTTTGTTTGCAGTGATGGCTTCTTTACTGAAGTATCTCCATTTATACTGAATTTACATGATAAGAGCAACAGAAGCCTGGATACCTTCTGGTGTTGGAGAGCATTAGGAGAATTAGAAAGAAATTGGGAAAAGTGAGGGGGAAAGGCCACCAGCCTGTGCCTTCCCCATGTTTTCCCAGCCCTCTGTGTGCTGAGGGAGGGCTGCCTCTGCCTGGGGAGGATCTGTCTGCATACAGAGCTCCTTCATGCATCCTGAGTGCCAGTGAGGAATTTGTTCTGTCAAGTAGAACAACAGAAGGTCACTCAGTTGATGATAAAGTTTCCCAGATCTTACTTTAGCTTGTTGGCAAGAAGTCTTGTTGGACAGCTGGATGCACCACTGAATGGAGCATGGTTGATGCTGTCTTTGAGAGATGTGCGGGATCTTTTTTCACCAGATAACAATGTGCTTTCTTGCAGGTGGATCACACAATAATAATGTACCTGCTTGGGCCAGATGGTGACTTTGTGGACTATTATGGCCAGAATAAGAGGAGTGCTGAGATTTCTGCTTCTATTGCTGCACACATGAGGAAATACAGATCGTAAAGTATGAGGTCTCTGGACATACATCAGCTGTAGAGTTGGCTGTAATTGGGCATTGTTTTCTGTGGAGCTCAAGAAGAAATGCATGAGTGTAATGTCCAACCACCATATACCTCTTTTCTTCCAAATACGAAAGGCAACAGTACTCAAAAATCTACAGAACCTTCCTGCTGGATAGCATCTGCAGAGAAATCTGGACTACAGGTTGAAATTCAGGACTTCTTGGAAACGTTGGTGTGTACAAAAGATAGAAAACACTTTTCATTTCAGAAGAACACGTGGCAGAATTAGTTGGTATCTCTTGGCCAGACATCATCTGGAGGACCTTTGCCTTCTTTTTTTCACGCCTTCTCGGAATGGCACTTAGTATATTGTGATAGAGAGGCTGAAAGTTGTTGAGGTTGAGAAGATGAAGAATGCTGGAAATGTCAGCAGCTGCCATGCATGGGACCAGCGCTGTGCCGTGCCCAATCTTCCTCGTTTGAATGCAGAAGTAGTGGGTTTTTTTTTCTTGATGATTTCTCCAAGGAAGCGCTGTTGACTTGTAAGGAAATGAGTAATGAGTTGCAAATGCGTTTTTCTTCAGATCAACGTGATTTTTTGTGTAGTTGACCTGATTGTGCTTTGTTGAGTAATGAAGTGGGGAGGATGAAGAGGGGTCTGTGTCTGTGCATAGGACTGTTAACCAGATAAAATTTATGCAGTGCAGCATTTGAAAATAAAGATTGCTTTGTGTAATTGTTTATCACTTTCAAGGTTTCCAGGAAGAGCCTCCGGGTAAAGAGTGGCTGCAGTGTGTCTGGAATTGTCTGCACGTGGGGACAGTATTACTCAGAGCCCGGAGCGTATTGGCAGCTTTGCAACGCTGGATGGGTTCATGCAGAAGAAGTCTCACTTGCAGAGTGACTGTGAGGCATCTGTTTGCATTTTCTTTAATTTGATTTGACTGATAATGGGTTATCATCAGAACTTTGCATGCTGGTCAAAACTCACGTGCCGGATTTCATCTGTGTAGAAAGTAGTGTTGATACATACAATATAGTAGGACAGGCCATTGCATGGTTTGGATGTGCCCGTCACCAGGAATTTTTGTGTACTGGTTTATACCAGGTGTTTTAGTGTCTTAGTAGAGTTTAACTTCCTTTTCAGCTGTTGAGCCTTGTTCTGGCTGCTTTGGGTGCAGTTAGCAAATGAGCAGCTTCCAAAGGAAGTTTCTCATGCTGGGTCTCATGCTCATGTCCATCACTTGGAGCCGTGTCACATCCAAGGTGTTACCAGTAATGTCTAGCATGAGTGGCAATGGCAATAATAATTTTGTTTTCATAGAGTCAGTATTGTTTCTGAGGAGTCTCATCTCACCTTTTATTTTTTCCCAGAATCCCAGAGGCAGTAAATTAATTCAGTTCAAAACTTTCCTTATAATGAAGATGTTTGGCACCTTCTAGCTCTGCGTGCCTCGTCCTGGTGCCTTAGGTGGGAGGCACCCTTCCAGCTGGCATTTCTGTGTTGCTGGGAAATCTGCCTTAAAGCTGTACTCAATTTTGTTGCTTGTATGTATTAACTATGTTGCATATGAAGGTCGCTCCGAAAGTAATGCCTCCTGTTATATTGGCCCATGTTGTCAGAGGTGGACATCGGTGGGACGGCAGTAGAGGCTGAACCTTCCCACCAGTATCTCGTTATGCGTTGCTGTGTGACAGACGGCAGCAGAGGGCACTGTGACACAATGGTGCCTGACATGGGAGTGCGTATGAAGCAGAGATGTGTCATTGAATTCCTCCATGCAGAACAAATGGCACTTACTGACATGCACTGATGCTTGCTGAATGTTTATGGAAACCAAGTGGTGGATGTGAGCACAGTGAGGTGATGCGTGCTGCATTTCAGCAGTGGGGACAGCAACAGTGGGTGACCTCTGCTGATGCAGATTGTTACGAACGTAGCATGCAGGCTCTTGCTCATTGCTGGTGAAAACACAGCTAATGATAGTGACTATATTAAAAAAACAAAACAAAACATTTTGTTTTTGAGAAAACAAAATTGCTCTATCAATTAGTGTTGTTGTGCTCTTTGTAGCTGTGGTAGCTTCCATGGGAATAAATAGGAGGCATTACTTTCATAATGATCTACATATTTTCTGTGCAGCCCAAAACAATTCCTCTTCTCTCAGTGCAACCCAGACCAGCCCAAAGGTTGCACACCATGTGCTAACAAGCAGCAGTGAGCAGTGCTGGTACAGATGCTGCTGGGAGGTGTGGGGATGCTCAGCTCCTCCAGTGCTCCCCCTTGTGCTGTTAAGCCTCTGGGTCTTGGATGATCAGAGGGAATCTTCAGACTGCCTCTTTAAAGCCTGATTATGCTTCTCTTGGTTGCCTAAGGTACCTCATGGAAGAAAAACTTAATTTTGGTACTATCATTTGAATCTTTACAGACTGAAAAGGTTCATAATATATACTCTTCTGAAAGGAATGGAAGAGACATTTCAAAGCTAAAAGTGCAGCAGCTTGATTGCAGAGTTTAGAGAGAGAGGATCTGTTTGTTTCAAACCCAGTTTTACTTAAACTGATCATTCAGGAATGGATGGTTGTTGTTTGCAGTATGCAGTCACCTCCATCAGGAACACTCATGGCCTGGGGACCTTCTCTCTGGCAGTGTGGGGGATCTGCATCAGGAGCAGTCACTGAAGTGCCAAAGCTGAGGACAGTCCCAGGTGAGGTTTGTCCCTGCCATCCCTGTGAGTGGCCTCCTGAACTGAAATTCCCTTGTGGGATCTCTTACCACTGTAAGTTTTTCACAAGGGAGTGCATGTGATGCTTTGCGTACAGTGGAAGCTGATGTAAAGGACGCCTCTGTGCAAAAAATGTAACGAATGGGAGTAGGCTGTGGATTGCTTGGCACTGCGATTGTCAGTTGTTAGCAGAGCCAGTAAAGAAACACTGAAAAATTGATTTCTGTTCCTGAAAGTGGCTGTTCAGTGGCAAATCACTGTGAAATGGCTACTGCTCTCTTTTCATATATGTGCAGCAAAATTCTGTAATGAATGCACAGCTGACTGCCAGATTTAAAGGGAAATGTTCCCCTCAGTCCATCATGGCACATCTCAGCAGGGCCGCACCATGCCTGTGCCAGTCAGAGATGGAGAGAACGGGCACAGAACCGGCCAAGATACCAGGACCTGCTGCTTCATGGCCAACCCCAGGCAGAGCACACCATAGGAAAGATCATGGCTGTGCAGGATGGGAAGGAAACTGCTGGGAGATTGTGTGCATTCCTCCCGGCCCTTCTCCCTTCCCTGCTGGGGGCCGGGACACCTGCTAGGGATGGCAAGGAGCACAGAAGCACTTACACTGGGCAGGGCAGGTTTCCTCCTGAGCCTGACTGCCCTTCAGATGAAGGCTTTGCTCCGGATGCAGAGATGAAGGTATCTATGGGATAATTGTTCCCAGCAGGATTTTAAGATAAAAATGCTCTGTAACAGGTTGGGCTGTTGCCTTGCTGGTCATGGCATTCCTCAGCTGCAGTTTGTATTCTATTATTCTAATACTATTATATCCTCTGTTAAGTTCCTCACTTTACTGGTGACAGAGCTTGCAGCTACTTTGCATGTGAAACTCATATCGGCATCGTGTCTGTTCCCTCTAGAAGCCTCCACCTTCTTTATCTTGAAGAAATGGCCTTAATCTTAATCTTGAAACATATTAACAACTTGTGTCCAGGTAAATTCTGTAGAAGTAGCTGCAGCCCCTCACCCAATGTCCTGGCAGTAATCCCTACCAGACATTAAGAAAATAAAGAATAAAGCTGTGATCTGTTGTTTCATACCCAGTGTGCAGCAACCACAGGTACGTGGCAGCAGAGTGCAGCAGGTGATGGTGTGCAAGGACCTGTGTGTTGCTTTCCTGGGCTTTGCCTTTTTTTGTACCCATTTGAGCTTTTTCCTCTCACACAACCCAGATTTCAATCATTTGTAATTGTAATAGATGTGAATTGCCTCCTATTCACTGCAATATGCGGTCTGGTAACTTCAGCCTGTCTTTTATGCAGCCTGGTAATTTCAGATTGTACTTGCTCATACAGAAATAGTGAATCATTCCTCACCAGCACAGCTGCAGGGATGGCTCTCTGCCATTCAGGACTTTGCAGGCTTCTAATGTCTCATTTTCACCCCCAGATCCCATCAAGTTTTGCTCTCATAGATTCATTTTTCATGCCAGTTTCATGCTTGTTGCCATCTTTGTTTTTCTTTGCATAATTTCTCATACAACTGCGACCTTTCCAAGAAGCAGGATTAGTGATGGAGATGTGAGTGAACTGACACATCCTACGTGATGCTTCCTTCCTTTCTCCCTTTCTCTCACAGTCAGTTACGCTCTCTTCCGAGCACTGACCTGACGTTACCTTGGAGCCCTTGGTATGGCTCTCAGGTACTTCCCGTGAGGAGCAGTTCGGGCACAACCTCTTGTTCTATATGGAGACCTTCTGTGAATCCCGACTTCTTGCATGTTTGAACCCTTCAGGAGAGCATGTAAGGAAGCAGATCACAGGGTTGCTTTCAAAACCGACATTCCTTATTCTCGCCTTCTCAAAAAAAGCCCAAGATAGGTCCATTGCTCAGTGGACCTTCACTGAACCTGGAAGCTACTAAACTTTCGGAAACAGACAGATAGCACCAGTGTTATTTTCCCCCTGGGTTGGACTGTTGGCTTGCAGGCCACGGGAGCAGCAATCGCCTCATCTGCAGATAGAAGCAAGGAGGGAAGCAGGTTGGGAAAATGGCAGCAGGATTTTCAAGCTCCTCCCTGGTTCCGTGTGGCGCAGCTGGCTGCTGCCACCTGTGCACATCTGTTTTCCTGCACGTCTGCCCTGCCTGCATGCATATCTGCAGGCGGGACAGCGTGACACAAGCCCGGCAGACGGAGCTACTGCAAGAGAGAGCTGTCTTGTGTCCAGGAACCAGGAGCAGAATGAGTGCCAGCGAAAGATTCACTGCAGATGAAGCCGTGCTGTCGGTGTCCTGCCTCTGTGGTGTTGTCAGGCAGGCAGCAGTTGTGCCCGTGGGCGTTGCAGCCACCCACAGCAGTAACACATAGGAAGGTCTGGTCCTCTGGTCTGGCGTGAATTCTGGCTATGTGGCTTCAACGATTCCAGGACTTACATCCCATCTGCCAGCACTACAGAGTTACCAGATGGCACCAATGTCTGCCCTGTGATGGCTGTGTCTTATTAAACAAGAAGAAAATCCTGAAACACATTATAGGTGTTATTAGTTCTCTGTTCCTGTCAGCATCTGTGCACATGGAATGGACACTGAGAACTTCAGAATCAAAGTTAACCCTTTCCTTCTGAGTTGTGGTTGATTGCTGTCAAATCTGATGGTTTATTTGCAGTGAACCCACCTGGTTGACAGAGTTGAGGATGTGGCCATACTGACACACCTGCATGAATCTGCTGTTCTCCACAGCCCCGAGGGCTACTGCTGCTCTCAGATGATCTGTGTACGTTTCTCTTCATTGCAAGGGAGAAAAATCAGCTGCCAGGGAGAGGGGCTTCCATGACTTCTGTTTTTTTCTTACAGACCCACTCGGGCCTCTTCTGTGTCACTGTCAACCCCTACAAGTGGCTGCCGGTGTACAACCCGGAGGTGGTGTTGGCCTACCGAGGCAAAAAGCGCCAGGAGGCCCCTCCACACATCTTCTCCATCTCTGACAACGCCTATCAGTTCATGCTGACTCCTGCCAAATGCTGCTCTTACCTGCTAGGGGCTCACTTGCCTTAAGCCACCTTCTGCAGTGCACTACCTCAGCGCCTCGTTCTGTGTCATCTTGCAGATTTTCTACTCAGTCTCCCAGTTATTGTACTGTGGAATTAGGCATGCCTACCTTGTTTCTAGGTGATGCAAAATCTGCTCTTGACTGCTTTCCCTGTCTCCTGAAATTGGCTTTTATTTTTAAATTGCTGTGCTATAATGGTATGGCACAATATCTGCATTTCTGGTCTAAGCATGAAGTTGAGCATCATAAGAAGAACCACGGCAAAAGGTGGGTGCAGTTAGGTAGGACGTACTGCCTGGTTTGCAGACCAGCATGTGGCTTGAGGCAACTCTGTTCAGAACAGATCTGGAAGGAACATTTTCCCCAAAATACATGGTTTCAGAATTAAGTTATGTCCTGTATTAAACAGCAATAAATAAGGTAAAGAGTGATAAAGAGGGAAGAAGAGAGTGGAAAAATGGACAAAAAAGTGGGGCACAGGAGTGGAAGAGAGGAGGAGGGAAAGAGCATGCATCTCTTTGGCTTTGCTCGCAAGCTTTTTGGTTCTCCCCTTCTATGACACTGGGTTGCTGCTTCCCTACCACTTCTCTGCAGCAGTTCTTCTTCCCTTTGCAGGGTGTGAAAGTCAGTCAATCCTAATCACATAAGTAGATCTGTCCCTTTGACCTTTATCTCCAACAAAGCAGGTGTATAAAGCTTTGCTCCATGCTTCCTTTCAGCAGTGGACAATTGGGTGCAGGGAAGACTGAACGCAAAGTGTGTCATCCAGTGCTGACCACTCAATGGAGAGCTGGCCAAGAAGAAGGAATCCTGGATGAAGGTATGAAGCTGAAAAGCATTGCAGAGGGACACTTACCAGCTTGTGACTGTGGTCAGTATCAGTGACAGACATTGGCCTCAAAATATGAAGTGTCTTCTATTAGCTTCAGCCACCCTCAAAAAGCAGTAAGAGCAGGGGCTGATTGGCAGTGAGAGACACAACAAATACAAACCACCGAGGCTGCCAGCGTCACTGCCCAGCAGCCTCTCCTCAAATGCAGATAGATCTGGGGGATGCTGTCTGACAGTGCTGGAGGCACACGCTCCAATTTCTCAACATGAGCTGAGAGCAATGAGCATGAGTGAAACTAGGAATAAAAGGAATTATTTACCATTTAGTCAGAGTGCTAATTCTTGGTGCTATAATGAAGAAGCTGGCACAGCATCAGGCTGTACAGCGTACGGTTGCACACGATTGCTGAGCTGCAGCTCCGTCACAGTCCCACCACATACCCTGTGGTGTTTCAATCTCTTACTCAAATATTCTCACAGGGTGCACCTGAGGATCAAATAATCTGTCAGCTCACTGCTGGAGGCTGCTGGGGATACCAAGGTGTGAGGAATGACAGCTCCTCGCGCTTCAGAAGTAGTTGTGCTCCACAGGGTTTGCCTCTGCTCTCCTGCATTTTGCATCTTATTTGCCCATTTGTTGCTTGCATCTGGGAGCCAGTGGGTGGGAGAAGTGCTCCTACTGACAAAAGCATGGTTGTTTTTCAGATACTGATGTGTTTACAGCTTTTCATGTTCACACTGCATGGCTTGCTGCCTGTTCCTCAAGATTCCCTGTCTCCAGTGTTTAAGTTTCACCACCACACCATTACTCTTGTTTCGTTACTAACTGTTCCCTTTATCCTGGGGAGATTTCATCAGTGTCTATAAATACTTGAGGGGAGAGTGCAAAAGAACAGAGCCCGGTGGTGCCAGTGACTGAACAAGAGGCACTGGGCATAAACGGAAACCCAGACAGTTCTGTCTGACCATCAGAGAGCACTGCTGTGCTGCACGGGAGGCTGAACACTGGCACAGATACCCAGAGATGTTTTGGAGTCTCCCCTTTGGAGATATTCATGCATATCTGTCCCAAACCTTCCACTGTCCCACACTACTCCATTCTTTCCTGTTCCTCAATAACTAAAACTTCAGTTATCAATGTTATTTTCATCCTAAATCCATAAAGCAGCACCTTACCAGCTACCAGGAAGAAAATTAACTTCATCCCAGATGAAACCAGAACATTCTGCCTTCCCTCCTCCCACATGATTCTGAACTCTCATCCCTCTGGCAAGTTCATCTCAGCCGTCTTCTCCTTTTGCATACCAGTTCTTCCTCAAGTCTTCCTGTCATTTAAACTCAAAGGTAAAAGAGCCTGATATCTGTTTGCTTTAACCATTTACGCAATTTAATATATATAAGCAATAAAACTTTTTTTTAAAGTATTTTTTATTAAAACATAAAAAAGAGAGAGCAACAAAAGCACAAAATGAAAGGGAAGGTAGCTCTCTGAAGATGAAGCAGCTATCAAGTTGTAAGTCTAACTGTGTCTCCTCTGATCACAGTGTGCACCTGCACAAAGTTACCTGCCGACGCTCCCAGGGATGCGGTCAAAACAAAGCAGGCAGAGCAGTGCCTGAGTCTGGGACAGGCGGGCCTGAGGCCTGCCCTCGCGTCCCCAGCGAATTCTCAGCTCCCTCCTGGCTCCCATCTCCTGGGCTCTCAGGTCCCACCGCGTCGCCCAGCAGCTTCACAAGCGTCATCCCCAGAAGCGCTGACAGGCTGCGGGGCTTGTGCACAGAGCTCTGCAGTTGCCTGTGCCAGGAGGATGGCTGTCATTTGTCTCCCTTCAATCCTCAGCGCCCAAAGTTCAAAATAACCCCCCTCGCAAGGCTCCTGCGTGGGGCCGGGCCTGCTGCTGTAGATGATACGCCTCCATGAATAGCACTCGAAGACATTCCTCAGCGGGTAGCTTGCCTTCTATATCTCACTGCGGCGTGCTGCCATGCAGGAGCTGGACAACTGTGCTGTGTCCTAAGATGGCAGATGCTATTCTTGTCCCAGAAAGTCTTGCTCCGTCCGGCACAGCTCCTTTCTCAGCTGAAATGTGAACAGTCAGGAGCCGGCCGGAGTGGCCCCTCTGAAGCCAGTGGAAATGGCAGTGTGTGAACGCGGCCCCTGGGTGCTTGCCCTGCTCTGCTGGGATGTGCTGTGCCACCAGGAGCACGGCTGCTGCACAGCTGCCGTTGGTGTTCAGCTTGGGGTGCGTGTGGGCATCACTTCCCTTGACATCGACAATGAGAAGCAAAGTCTGTGGATGTGAAAGCTCACTTCTTGCAGCTCAGAATGAGAACCCAAATCCATGAATCCCTTCCCATCATGAGGAAGGCAGCAGCACTTGCTCCAAGCTTTCTTCAGGGCTGGCAGCACTGCTGAGAGCCATGCCTCTCTCGGCCGGGTGGAGCAAGAGCAGGCCATGCTGACATCCAACACTGAATTGGGGCCCCAGCGCTTGACATGTGAGATGAGCCACAAAATGCACCGTAATGTGGCTCTTGTTGAAAAAAATTAATAAACTGGAAAACAAGAGAGACAAAGTATGAGTAACCACAGTGCTGAAGTGCTGATGGGAGTTTGAAATTGTGCTGGGGAGAGCAGGGAGGAGACGAGGACAGGGAGAGCAAGACGTGAGTGTGTGGAGGAAGAGGGCAGAGCGAGAAGATGGTGGAGGATGTGGGAGTGGGAGAAACGACAAGTGAGCATCAGGTTGAGGGAAGAATGGTCAGAGGAAACAGGAAGATAAATTATTGGTAAGCACTAAAATGATTATGTGCATATGACCATCTAACCCATGGGTGTCTGACCATTTGGCTTGCCTAGGCCATGTGGAGTGAAGAGGAAGCCCAGCTTGTGGCTACCTCCTTTGCATGTGGGTTTTTTGGCAGTTGAAGAATAGGATGAGAAGAAAAACAACAAACACAGCGGAGGAGGAGAATGGAGCAGAGGCTGAGCAGCTTTGAGGGATGCCAGGAAGGAGAGTTTAGGTATGTAATGGGGAAAGGACCAAATCAGTGATCTGAGCCAAGGAGGATGTGTGCAGGAGGAGCAGAGGCTGGGAAAAAAAAAAGACAGACACTGCTATAAAGCCTGCTGTATGATCAGGACCAAAGTGGGACACTGATGTGAGGGAAATGGAAGATGTATTGCTCACTGCCTTATGGAGAACGAGGGTCATTTTGCATTCTCACTCTATTTGTGGAGTCAGGATGCCTGTCATCTGACCAGGGCTTGTGCAAAGGTCTTGAGAAAAACATCAGTTCATAGTGGCCATAAACAAGGACCTCTGAGAGAAAGTTTAAAATAGATGCAGCTGATGGGCTTATATAGAACTGCTGTCCTGTGTGGACTGTGTGGACTGCAGGAGACCTCCTGAGCACAACAGTAGCAGTTCAGTTCTAGCAGAACAGATGGTTGAAAACATTTCCCTTCAGACACTCTATCAGTAAAGCCACGTTCAGTAGTTCACAGTAAGGAGCCCCAGTAGAGAAGGAAATCACACAGGACACAAGTTTTGCTGTTAAGGCTTCAGAGCACTGCTCTTACAGCTCCAGCAGAGTGGGCACCACCATCTCCACATGCCAGCAGCTCCCTGAGGTCCGCACAGTGCTGCTTGGAGAAATACAGTTCAGTGTACATGGAGGGTTTGGAACTGAAGCACCAAGGGGCAAGCTGCAGGCTTAGCAAATACACGAGGCAGAGAGCAGTGCAGGGTCAGGGGATGGCTCTGCTTTGAGACCCTAAAACTGGGAAGGCATTGGTCAACTGCAGCAGCAGGGCACTTTGAGGAATCTGAGGGACTAACTTGGAAGGAAGGGAACATACACCTGTAATGTTCGACAAAGCGGTAATTGAGTGAATTTGGCACTGCACCTTGAGATGCTCTGGGCAGCCTGGTCTGTTGGTTGGTGACCCTGCCAATGGCAAGAGGGTTGAAATTAGATGATCCTTGAGGTCCTTGTCAACCCAGGCCATTCTGTGGTTCTCTGATTCTATGCGGCAGATTTGGGATACGTTTTCTCAGGCCATGGTCCTGTCTGAGATGTTAAACAACTTTCTCTCTTCCTTTGGGCTCAGTATTCGCTTCTCCTTTGGCATAAACTCAGACCTTCTCAAGCACTTTGTGACAAAACACTCGAAGAGAAACATCTGTCCTTAGAAGACTTAAAGTGAGGTGAGCAGGTAATTACCACAGAACGGAGAATGTAAGCATTGCCAGACCCCCCCAGCTGCTCATCACCAGCTGCTCACATGGGGGCACCCTGGCTGCTGGCTGTCTGGTGGCACATCACCATCACTGTCTTCTGACGGAGCTGGTCTGCTTTGCGCAGCTAATTTGCAGTCCAGAGGGAGCAGAAACGTGTATGCTTCCCTGTGTCTGTCAGGTGGATACAGAGAGCAGTTAAGGAAATGTTTATGTTGATCACCATGAATAAAATGAGTCTGTTGGCAAATTTCCTGAAGATGCAAAAGGAACTTTTTTGCAACATAGGAAGTTAGTTTAGAAAATATTCTGCTAAATAGGTAACTGCGCTGCTGTGACCATGGCACTCAGAAGATCTTACAGTGTTCTAACCTTGAAAAGTCTAACATTTAAAGAGAACAGGATTATACAAATTCCAGTATCAGTACATTTCCACTTACAGCACTGAAACCTGCCCAGAAGTGGGATTTGTGCATCTGTCTAAGATGAGTGTCAGCAAAGGAAGATATCACTTCATTGCTCTCTTTTTTAGGATGCAGTTGTTGCTAGTTCTAATATTATGCACCTAATCCTAATTTTCCTTCCCTCCCCCTTTTGCCACTTGCTCTCTTTCTTCTCTGTCTTTCCCGGAGGCCTCATAGCCTGCCCACCCCACTCCCCTGCTCTGTAACTGGAGCCCCTCAGCTGCTTTGGTGGGTGACAGAAAGGGCATCCTGAATGTCACCTCCTTGGCAGTGGCTGCTGCCCAGATTTCTTCCGCTGATGTTTGCATGAAGAGCCTGAGTAATGGTGCACCTCTGATAGCTTACAGCTGGTCATCCCTACACAACAGGTGGCCTCTTTACCTGTCTCTCTGCAGCTCTGCTTGCTGCTTTGAGCTGCTTGAGTCTCACGCACTGTCATGTTGCTGAAAGCTGCTTACCACATCATCCTTGTAAGGCAGGCCGTGCAACACCAGCCAAAAAAACCCTTTGTGTGGCTGCAACCAAAGGTCAGCTCCTCTGCCTATTCGGTGCCTCTGAGCTGTATAGGCCAAACCCTACAGAAATCCAGTCTCTGAAAGGAGAATTGGGGTTAAGAGGTACCAGACAGCAAGTAAATGGGGTTAAGAGGCTACCAGACAGCAAGTAATTGTCTCCAAATGTCAAGTCAGTGCTTGATGGTGGCCACAAAAGGCCTGATCATTAGGAATGATCAGGATCAATTGAGAACAAAACAGAAATCATTGTGCCAGGCTCACAAACCATGTGCTCTCCACAGCTCTGGCCTGTGCAAGTAGAAAGGTTATGTAGAAAGATGTCAACGCTGATGGGAACATTGGAGAGACAGTGACTATGATTCTTCACTTTGGAAAAGGAATGATCAGGTGGGAAGATTATATGCTTTCATAAAATTGTAAATACTTTGGAAAATGTGAAAATGCATTTTCACCAGTTATCTTATATACTCTCCTTACAGAGTACCTGCCAGTCCTTTGTTCTAAGGTGATGTGGATGGCTGTATATTCTCAAATTTATGAGGCTCTCTCTGCAGGTGCTGTGTACTCACTGTGGGAAAGGGGCAAACAGCTGCTTTCCCCATCCTCTCAAGTGGGCTGAGGGTAAGTTCTGTACAGCAGCCAGCAAAGCAAGTTATTTGGGAATAAAATTCTCAGAAGTCTTGCAGAAAACAAAGAGAGGGAGGGAGGGAGGCAGGCAGGAAGGCAGGCAGGAAGGAAGGAGGGATACTATCTAAGAGAAGGGAGGAAGGAAAGTGTACTATTTAAGAAAAAGATTGCTATACTCAGCTCTTTTCTGGATCAGAGGATAATAATCAAATAATTATCACAGCAAAGTGATCTACGGTGATCTACTATGGGAAAGCACACTGGAGCAGTGGGCACTGCTAAATAGCTGCTCCCTGAAACCAGTTACAGCTTTTCCACATCTATCCTACCAGCTGCAAGCCTGGAAAGCCAATAGTCTGTCCATATTCCTCTTCTTCAGCTCAGTAACTTTGACCTCCTCTGCAGGAGCAGATTAACACCTGGCATCTAAACTGGTAAAAAATACTTACTCAGGTACTGTCAATCAAGTAACAGGTAACAATGCCAGGGAGAAGATAGCTTGAGACAGCATCGGATTGCCTTTGATTAGGAAGCATCACAGTGCTGTAGAACTTAAGGAAGTCTTGTCAAACAACCTAAATGTTAAAGTGTTAACTAAATGTTCGCTAAATGTTAAGTGAAGCTGGTGTTCTGAATCAGCTTGCTGTGCAGTTTCTTTCATGTTGGTGACTAAGCAGGGTGTTCTTCCTCTTGAAATTCTGAAGGAATACATGTTAATTCCTCCTAAAATAAGTCTCGGATTCAGCAGATGCACGTGGCATAATGGAGGACACATTTCTTGGCATTTGTGCCCTTTGTGCCTCTTAAGAGATTTGCTACTGAACTCAGTGGGGGTGGAAGGGAGGGGGGGCAAAGAAACGGTTGCAGCTGTGTCTTGGTGATATTGCTGCCTTTCCCAAAGTAAAAATATCACTGATGTCACATACAAAACCTCTCTCCAGTTTCTTCCAAGAAGAGCAGACAGGAGATGGGGAGGCAGGGGAGGGAAGGGGAGGGGAGGGGGGCTGTAGTTCTACTGCTTTGCTCCAAAGCCAAAGGGGGAATAGAATCCTTCTCTTGGTCAAACATCAGTGATTGAGAAATCCCTCTAATTTGTTCTTTCTTTTATTGCCATGAACTAAAAGAAGGTATGAGACTGTGTTCCTGTAAAATCCATTGCAAGCCCCTAAGAGGCTGATAAAGCAATCTTCTTTGATCCCCTTGCCTCTTAGTTCGTCTGCCTTAATATCAGATTATCTCATTTAACTGCACAGATCACATTACAGCTGGGCATGTAGGGCAGCAGGGAACTTGGTGAGTTTCTGTATTTCGCTCTGAAGCAGTCCAGTGGTGAATAAGAACACAGGAAGGAACTCCAGACCCTCAAACCACTCTTGCTTTTGGAGAGGATGATAGTTGCAGAAATACGCTAATATATATAACAAAATTTTGCTTCTTTTGTGTCTGCTTTCCCTAGAGGGGGACTGGGCAGGGGGACCTTGCTGTTGTGACAGTTTCCTAGTATTGTTTAATCCCAATTTGCAATTTTTGTTCAAATATAAGATGGGGTTTTTAAGAGAAGTTGTCTTGGAAAGATACCTTGTTTTATACTCCCACGTTGTCTGAAATTCACAGTGAGAATATGGATCTGCTGCCTTGCACAGAACCATGCTGGAGTCATGGGTATCTGGATCAAACAAATCAGTACTGAGGTTATTCTCCCGTAGTGTCAGCCATTCATATTGTAATAGGTTTGTAATCTCCCCTCCATGGTCAGTGGAGAAGAAAGGACTCCTCCATAGGAATCCAGGCTAAGGACAGTTTCTTAATTATGGAGATGCTCATTCTTCCCCTTTTATCATGAAGGGGGCCCAGGAAACTCAGAACACACACATTGCTTTCATGTGGTTGTAGGTAGGACTCCTACCACCCATGTGCACACATTTGGGCTTTAAGAGCCCAACTTTAACCCAATTTTGTGCTAATGAATCACAGCGCATTTGGAAAAACGTGCCTTGAACTAAAGTTTATTGATCACGATACTTCACAGTTATCAGTATTACTGCTTATTTTGTGAACAAAGAGCAGACAAATTAGCAGAAATGGTCTGCTACTCTGAGTAAGCTGGGCTTTGAGGAAAAAAATACATATAGTTATTTTCAGGGGCTCTAGCAGAATTAATTAACAGTGGAAAACTATTTCTTCCACAGAACCACAGAATGACCTGGGTTGAAGAGGACCACAGTGATCATCTCGTTTCAACCCCCCTGCTATGTGCAGGGTTGCCAACCACCAGGCTGTCCAGAGCCACATCAGCTTCCCTTTGTGATTCTTCAGCATGGAGGCTTGCTAAAATCAAACTGAGCTGGATGCTCAGAATGTTGTGTTGCCCCATGTGTACCCTCCTGCTATTCTTTCATGACACCTTCATTTGCCTCTGCTCCTTCCTTCACCAACTGCCTGACCCAGCTTACCCACCTTAGTGTGTCCCTAAGGGCTGCTGAGGCACCCATCCTCTGCAGGGGAGGTGTTCTCTGGAGGGATCCCCAGCTGTACCTCACAAAATGCAATGCTCTCATCCAATTTGGAGCTTTAGGACTATGCATGGGCAGCCTGTCACAGTGCGGAAGGCAGCCACCCTCCAGAAGGAACTTGGTTCTAATCCTTGGTTCTACAAGTTCTGTTGTCTCTAGTGATGCCTGCAGTCATGTCAAGATTCCTGAGAGAAAAAGGCCATGATGTGCTTGTAAAGACAGTCCAAGCCACACAAATAGGACGATGCCCTTCCATAAGCTCTGCTAACAGCCAGGCCCTCCCAGATTCTGCATGAATGCCTCTTTTATCTACCCCAACAGCTCTTGGCTTTTTTTCCTTCAAAGCCCTCTTCCCTCATCAGATCACATCCAGGCTGGATGGGGCTGTGAGCAACCTGGTTTGGAGGGAGGTGTCCCTGCATGTAGCAGGGAGTTGGAACCAGATGATCTGAAAGGTCTCTTCCAGCCCAAACCATTCCATGATCTCCACGTGCACATTTTTTGCTTCTTTCCACATTCTCATCTCTTACACTGCCACCTTCCACTCATCATTCTCTCTCATTCCCTTTCCCCTCCTTCCTCTGACCTCAACCTGTCCCTGGTGGGATTTCCTTCACACGGCACTCACAGAGCTGCATGCCAGCCCTTCCCCTGCCCATGCTCAGAACCAATGGTCTGTCAGAGGAGCAGCACATCCACACAGGCATTCCTGGTCAGGGCTACTGATCGCTGGGGGAGGATCAGCTGTCCCCACGTACAGGAAACTCATAACCCTGTTCTTCAGACTCAAGGGCATTGACCCACAAGAGGAGGTTTCCTACCTGAGCAGAAGTCGAGCAGCTCTGAGCTCTCTCCAGCCTTCCAGGGCTCAATAACAAGGGGTGTAAGGGGATCCCTGTTAAAGGAGATGTCTGCCCTATCTATCCTGCGAGCATTACAGACTCTGTGTGGCGTAGACACATGGACAAGTTACTGAAAGCTGAGAAGGTTAAAGGTTTCTTAGGCTTCACACAGAGATAGCAGGAAAGTGCTTATGCTTCTGTCTCCCATTACTGGCAGTGACACAGATTGTACTGTTTTCAGTACAATTTCCCATCTGTGGCTTGTTTTTGCTTTAGTCACATGTCTTTCACCAGCTTGAGGGGGTTTGTAGTTCAGAAGTCTTCACCACTGGGATGGTGAGAAATATCTCAGGAGTGACAGATTATGCAATCCTTTGATCTCACTCCGTACAGACATTTGTGAAGAGTTTTCCTAATGACTAACTAGTGCCTCTCAAGTTGTGATTTTTGATCAGTGTCCCTTGTTACATTGCCTACTACTAATTGGAAAAGTTTAGAACATTGTATTTTTAACTGCCCTACATGGAACTTAGTCCTTTTCTCCTAACATTAAAAACCCTGGAAGTCTCTTTGTAGGACTACTTTTTGAGACCCTAGACCATCTTCATCATTTTAGTTCATATCCTTTTTGAACAGGAGAGCCCCACAGTGGACAAACCATTTCAGATGACAACTCAGTCATACCAAACAAAAGGGATTTTAGCTTCTGATAGTCAACTGAACGTGCTCAGAGCATCATCCAGTATCTTTGCCTTGTTTCCAGTGAGAGCACTCATTATCCTTCTGGGCACCCATCTTAACTCCCAAGTCCTTTCTAGCAGGGCTCCTGCTGAACTGGTCAGTTCCCAGCTCATACTGACACCTCAGGCTATTTTTCTCCCAGCTGTGAGCTTTCCACTTGTCCACACTGATCTTCATAACATTTGTGTTGATCCAGTCCTCATGTCTCTTAATGTATCTGGAATTAAGCTCTGTCATTTGTCATCTGCCTAATTTAGTGTCATTCACAAATTGGACAAAGTTGAATTTTGTGTCATTGTTTGAGTTGGCTCCTTGAATTCCTTTCAACCAAATTCCATTCTACAAGGAAAAAGAAAATCCCCAGGAAGCCTTTGTTTTTGAAAAGTTGATGGGAAAGAAGAAACAAGCGAGACTGACTCAATAAGGTTAAAGTTAGTAAGGCTAATAAAACCTTTTTACAGGTTTGAAATAGTTGAAGCTTGTACCAGCGCACTGCTTCTAAGTGGAAACAGGCAGTTTCCAGCAGTACATTTGCCATAGTGGAATTTGTTTGGACAAGTATTTAATATGCATTTTGACTTAGAAAAATATGGAGAATTTCTTTGTCCAGATGAGCACAGGACAGTGATGGCTGTCTACAGCCCCTAAGATGTCAGAGATTTGTAACCATGTTTTCCCTCCCTTCCTCTGGCACAGCACTCTGTTCTAGTCAGAGGAGCAGAGGGCTGGAGAGTAGTTCTCAGGGGAAAAGGCTGAGGATCACCAGTAAGAGATTCCTTTCCACGCTGCGAAACCTGCTGTCATACAAGTACACTGGTGTGTTTCCAGCTCATGACCTCTACCACACTGAACGCACATGTGAGGGAGTTTCCCACTAACCAACATACAGGTTCTTCCACTTTCTCACTTTGTTCTCATTCTGACACCCTGCTAAAAATCATCCTCTCATTCTTTGTCTCTCACAACTCAGGAGAAGAAAACCCACATCTGAAAAGGTAGTAGACAAGGAAGCAGCTGCCTGATCTCCACCTCAAGAGGGATCTATTTTCAGCATGCCTGAACCCCTCTCCACCATGGAGAATATGAGCGTTGCCTCGCAGCGCTGCTGCACAGGACAGTCTGTATCCAGAGATGGCCTTCTGTCTGCTTCTGCTCCTTTACCTGCTGTGCTTTGCTTCTTGTCCCAGAAGAGTCCAGACCTGCAGAAATGAAAGCAGAATTGACAGAAAATTCATGGCAGACAGAAAGCTTTGTGTTTTTGTAAAATAGTATGAAGAGATATATGTGGTACAACTACTGCTGATTATATTTGATATGGCACCTAGCTGTATTTTCTACATTATATAATGTAACCGTACCTCCTGTTACAGTTGGATGGGATGTTATTTAAGCTGATTTGCAAACAGCTTCGGCTATTGAGTCACTTTTGCCAGCATGAACGGAAGGATTTCAGCTTTCAGACTTGTCCAGGCCTTTCCCATTTAAACTGAAGAGTTGTGACTGTTAACAGGCAGCATTAGCAAGCAGATGTAGCTCTGCAGACATACTACAAATGGTGGGAAATTAGTGAAAATATGTTCAAAAAACCCAGAAAGCAACCTTTTAAGAGTCACATGAACAGAGAGATGCATTTATTTCTCACAATAATAAAATTTGAATTCAGATATGCTGTGGCAGCCCTGGAAGGTAAGGTGAGGTCTGGGAAGATGTCCTGCTGCGCTGGGAAAGCTGTGCAGCTGCATTGTTGTGACCATGGAGTTTGACTGCAGTGATGAAGTTCCCCCTTCTTCCTAATAACTCTATGCTTGATGAATTCTGGAATTCATGGAATAATTCTGAGAATGGCTGGGGCACTAAATGGGTCTTCTTTACAGTAGCAGGGACAGGCAAGGCACTGATCTCTTCTCTGTAAACAGTGGTGGGACCTAAGAGAATGGGTAGAGCTGTGTCATGGCACCAAGTCTGCTGAAGCACACAGAGTGTTTGGACTCAGAAATGCGGTTTGAATTTGGAGTGAATCTTTGTGGAGCCTGGAGTTGGACTGGATCATCCCCATGGGTCCCTTCCAACTTGGGATATCATAAAATTCTATGATTCCTTTTGCATCATGGCACTTGCACCTCCTTTTTGTGGCTCTTCTAGAGTGGTTTCTTTCTTCTGGAGGGGTTTCTAGAACAGCTTTGATATTTTGTTTGAATGGCGCTGCATTGTTTCATCATGAATACTGTCAGGTCCCTGCACCCCTGCTAATCTAAGCTACCAGGATTTTTTTGTATTACAGTCAGCTGACAAAGGAGTAAGCAGACACACTTGGTGTCATCTATAAAGCCTGCTTCATGGTGAATGTAGAGTGTGTTTTATCTGAACTGTGTTTTCAAAGTGTTCTCAGCTGCATCTCCATATATAAGATCTTGGAGAATTTTGCTACATTTCAGCAATCCTTCAGACCCATGACTGATTAATACCAATCTCCTTTCAGGTATGGTTCACTCTGAGATACAACATAAATCTCACATACCCATAGTCACCTTATGCTGACTATGGGGTTTATACTGGTATCAAGGTATTAATAATAAGCAGTTAATGTGGACATAGCTCAATGCTTGTGATAGACACAGAAATCCAAATTATAAACCCACAGTAAGAATAGTTTCTCCTTCATTGAAGTCAACATACATAGTTACACTGCGGTTTTGTATATGCCTGCATACACATTCTGCTGAAGAAGGACTTCCTCCAGCACCTATTGCAGGGTTAGTGGGGACGGTATGCCCTGAAGTCCTTCTGTGCCCCTAACTATCAGGCATCGTTCTCAGTCTTCCTTGCAGGATGAGACTGCTAGCAGTTTTCTAAGCTCTCCTTTGAAGACTTAACACTTTTCACCCCCAGGTAAGCTCCAATAACTATTTTTATTCTATATGTGCATGACATTCAGCTCCTTCTCTTGATGTGTGCTTATGGTCGATTGGGCTGTGGATTCCTGAGGCAGATTTCCATTCCTCTCAACCAGGGATTGAGTCATTTACCCCATGAAGATTAGAAGTTTTCAGATCTCTTCATGAAGGGCTGCCCCCCTGTGTCAATTTACTGTGGGTGGGACCACCCAAACCTTTCAAGCTCCTAGGTTAATCCTCTATAAATCCTCAGCATGCCAGGTTTCTTTCTCTCCTAAAGAGATGACCAGACACTACATGCCTTGTCTGGCACAACCCATGGTCTGCAGTCTTGGAGCAATCAGAATAGATTGGTAGAAAGCCTTTTACTTGCTGACTCTGGGTAGAGGGAAGCTGCTTCTTCACATTTCAGTTGAATAGTTCTACAGCTACCATTTTATTTGAGTGTGTCAAGAAACATGGTGATTCTTCCCAGTGATAGGAAAGCTGCCAGATTTCTAATTTTGAGTTAATAATAATGATGTTAGAGGTCTTACTAGTCCCTCTTCTGAATGGGGTCATGAGCTCCTACCCTTTAGGTTGCATATTTCCGCACGGCTGTTATGGCCCTATGTGCAGAACAGTTTCAGTCCTAGTGAGCTAGAACCACTATTTAAATGAGATAATACTGGCTGGTAGTCTACTGTCTGGCCTCTCCTCCAAGGATCAATCAGAGACTAGCTCCACTGAACTGCACAGCGTAGTATTTGAGATGATAAAGGCTGAATTCCTGAAGGAGATGGCAGACAGTTTGGTCTCGATACCAACCTTAGTATTCTTGCCTCCTTGGCCATTGTATTGACTCTACAGAAATCTCATGCTGTTTCTGTATAGGGTCTGTTTATTAGGGGAATATCAAGGTGCCTGAGGACTTTGATTGTTTTGTTTTAACATCAGAGGAGGCCTTTAGATATACCTGAAAGTCCACACATGACCTGGTTAACTCAATTAGCAATATTGATTAACGTGTGAGAGAGAGATTAGAGACTCTGTCCTGTGCCACAATTACATTGTGAGCAGGGCTTGCCAAGGACTCAGAAGAACCAGTAATGCAGGATAATTGTTTTCCTACTTAACATTTCCTCCTCACACAAATGAAGTGATTAAATTTGTACTTCACTCATTCCCTCCTGGATGTTTTCTCTTTGACAAGGGAAAGTGTTCGACTTGGCTTCTCTCAATAAATCAAGCTCTTCTTTTCATTGGCTGTGTTCTCCCTTAACTAAGAGAATGTTAAAATAATCCTGTCATTCCATTTGCACAGAACCAAGTCCTGCAGATGATTATGACTCTCTAAGAAATAGTAAAATACTGAAAGCTGCAGCAAACTTCACATAAAGATCAACAAGCAGGCAGTAAAGCTGAAGAGTTATAGGGAGTCCATCTTTGTTATCTCACTTGTAGTAATCAGACAGAATGCAAACTGCGATATTACCTTCACCAAAGAGCGACCTCATTCCTGTTATCTTCAGATCAGAGAAGATGTGACTACATCCTTTTGTGTGAGGTAAAACTGTGTAGTGGCTTCCTTAGAAGACCCATATTTACATGAATAAAAATTCAATGAGGAGATACTGCTTGAAAATATTTTAGTATAAACGTGCAAACAGACAAGTCGTTCAAATATGAGTCTCATTGTCTTTGAGAATGGATGTCTACAGGAATGTTCATTTCCCTCTTCACATTCAGTTCTACCTCGGAGTCTTAGAGGAGTCCTGAAGTCTTCCCAATTCTGCAGTTACTAAGACCCACTTAACACATAGAATTTTCTATGCTGTGTCTGTATGTGCACCAATGAGTACTGGGTCCAATAGTGCTGAGAAAGGGAAAAGTCCCCCAGCTGGGGAGGAACAACTACCCAGGAACCAAAAGATGTTGGAGGCCAACCAGCCAGAAAATTGAAAGCACCTTTAAATAAAGGACCTGAGGTTCCTGGTGGACACTAGGTTGAATATGAACACCATTACCATTCACATTCTTTCTATAAAGAAAGTGAATGATAACTTGGTCTCTATTAAAAGATGTGTCATAGCAGGTCAGGGGAGGTAAGCCTTCCTCTCTGCTCAGCACTTTTCGGGCCACACCTGGAATACTGCATCCATTTCTGGGCTCTCCACTACAAGAGATTACATTGATGTATTTGGGTTCCAACAAAGTGTCTCGAAGATGATTAAAGGACTAGAGCATCTCTGATATGAGGAAAGGCTGAGAGCATTAGCCTGTTCATCCTGGAGATGAAAAGATTCAGAAAAGATCAGCTGAGACAGAGGAAATGGGCACACAGAAAATGTGGGAGGCTGCATCTGAACTTCAGGAAAAACTTTTTGACTCTGAGGCTGAATCAGCAATGGAACAGGTTTCCCAGAGAGAAATCTCCATTGTTGTGGATGTTTAACAGCCATCTAACCTCTCCTTCATTTCCTTGCCCTTGTCACAACATTTTTCTGAGATTTAGACCTCTCTGTAAAGGCTTTAGGTTTCTAAAACTGGCTTATAGGGACCTAGGGACGCAATGCTCAATCCCCTAAGCACTGCTGGGTGATTGCCAATACTGAAGAGACATACATTTGCTAACCACTTTATTTTCATGCTAGGCCTGGCTTTGGCTGACTGTATGCCTCGAGCTGCCTGGTGATGAGCTTCTCTCCTGCCTATTATACAGCTGGGTCCACTGCTTAGGAAATTCAACAGGAAAAAAAAAAAAAAAAAGAGCAAATAAGAAGAGCTCTACTGAGAAGACTGGCTTTGTCACTGGCAACTGGAAATTCAAGACTTTCAGTTCCCAAAGTCAGGCATCTAGTCTAGGACGCTCAGCTGCTGAGGGCAGGGCCCCACAGGAAAGCAGCTGCAGCTACTTAGTGCTTCATCTCAGCTGCCAAGGGATGCTGCCTGGACAGTGCAGATGCTGCAGCTTCCCAGGAAGTGGGAGACTGAAGCTCCCTCCTCTACTTGCGGGGAGGAACCCACAGCTCTCCCATCCTGGGAGATGGCCTCATCCATCTCTGCTCCTCCCAGGCTTTGCTCTTTGTTCATGGTCTTCTGAACCCTGTGCTCGGAGCTTCCGAGGCCCTGTTGTCCCCTCCTTGGCCAGACCTATAACCACTGGGAAGCAGGGCTCCATGTGGCACTCATCAACCTGATTTGGATGAGTTTGAGCTCCAGGTTGAGGCCCAGACACCCAGAATTTGGGTGCTGCAGTGTCAGAGCCCTCCTCAGCAAAGCTCTTCATGCACAAGTCAGTGCCTGGTGCTGGCTTTTACACCAATTCTCACAAATCATTTTTCTTACCTTGTCCATGTGTTAACTACTGACTTTTGTTAATGACCAGGAGAAGAACATGCTGAAATTTAACAGTTTTTAAAGCAGCTCACATGACAACACCCATTTCCTATATTCACTCTTCAGAACTACTAGCAAATCCCTCTTTCCCATGCTATCAGCACTGTACTGGCAGGTTTGCCAGCCCCAGTGCTCTGGTATACGTAACACTGTGTTTTTTGGACTGTGTGAATGTGTGTAAGATATCTTTGATGAGATGTGAGGGATGTATCAGGCACAGAGAATCTGGAATGTCTAATTATTTCTAGAGCTGTGACTGACTAGAGGGATTTTTCTGTGAACTGTAGGTAGGAAAAAACTGTGGGAGTCTTTTCTAGATAAATTATCTGTCCTTGGGTTATAGGTATGGAGATACTCGGATAAGATAAAAGGTTTTCAGCAAAAGAATGGAGCACCTCTTGCTCACTGGCACTGATCTGCAGATCAGAAGTCTCGAGAGGTTATAACTTCTCTCACAGCACGCATTGGTGCACAAGGTCACAACAACAAATGCACATGCCTCTGCGTGTGTGCTCCTTCTGATATCTCTGAAGTTGCCTCACATTGCTCTCAGAGCTTAAAAATCCGGTTAGAACCCAATCTCTCACTTACTGCAGCTTTTGCCTGATCATCCTGCTGTACTTGTAGCACTTGTGTTGTACATCCGCATTTTTGCTTTCAGGATTTTACCATCACAACTGCCAATTTCTCTTTCAACATCCTGTTCTATCTATTGTACAGCTGGGGTAGCTGCAGCACACACATACCAAGCAATCCACTCTGGGTCATACAGTGAGTCGGTGGGAAAGCCAGCAATAGAATCCATAAGTCCTGCATCCAAGTTCTCTAAGTGCCTTGACTAGTCCAGATTCCCTCCTTAACACCCTTGTCAAATTGTTTATAGGAGATGTATTCATATAGTCCGTAAGACATCAAAATTTTCTAATTATATCTAGTCATGTCAAATGACAATTATGCCCTTAGTTCAGTTTGCCAGACAATGCTTTACCAAAGAAGGCTTGCCAAAAATTTTTTGACCGAAGAAAGAGTAGGCATCTGTAGCATCTGCAGATGAGATCGTATAAAATGTCCCTGCAGCAAGAGTGCCCTGTCTCCACGGAAAGCTCCAAGGTAAGTGGATGGGGTCCGCAGCCATGCAGGAGTCTTTCTGTGTTACACCATTCCTCTGCCTCCAGTGCTCGTTTCCAGGAGGAAGCTCAATTCCTCAGCTCGAGTTTTAAATCTGCTTTCAAGATACCTGCACATTTTCACTCTGGAATTCTGTGCCAAGTAGGAACTTGCCATTTCTGTTTTGCAGCACTGACCAGCCGCCAGGCTGTGAGCCACCCATCTGGTATCACGAGAGGTAAGAACCTGATTTATTCATGCTTTTGGGTGGGATTTCTGTATGGATGAGCAATCGCCTTTTTTACCCTGCATTCAAAGCCAGTGTGATTACAGTAGGCAGCTGGTGGGTGCTCATGGCTGGTGAGGTTTTCAAATGGTTGTGTTTCTATCTTCCTGTCTCTGATGGCAGACCAGAAAATTCCCATTGGAATACTCTTCATTTCTGCTTAACTGACCAAACAGGGAGTGAGGCGTGCCAGCTTCATATCATTGCAGCAATAGAACTGGAATAAGATGAACAAAGGAGGAAAAAGTGCAAAACTGTATATTTTTCATCAACATGTTATCAACAACTCATCGGACAATACCGACCTTCTTACCATCTTTGTACATCTTTGTAAAATGTTGAAGCTCTTTCAAATATCCATTTACCAGACCAAAAGCAAAACAAAACCTTCTTAGCTAATGAACAGAGGGAATAAATTTCACTAACATAGCTAGAGAAATTTCAAGTGCAGCTGGAGAAATCTAGATATCCACATTTTTAGTGAAGCATCTGAAGAAGCACTCTTATTTTATTGAAGTTTTGAGAAGTCACCTGTTCCTGGATTTTTTCAGTATTTATTTGGGAGCTTTGTCCAGCTATGGCAATTCCAATTTCAGTGCATGAATTTTGTTTCATACAAGTCAGAACTTTGAAGATGAGACTATTTGGATATTGTACTCATGAATGACAAATGTCTAAACAAACTGAATTACAGCAGAGTGTTAAAAGGTCATAGATCCTGCCCTTTTCTTTCTGCTGGCAACTTCAGTAGCAAAATTCATTAATTTCCACTGCCTTCCTACTACAATTATAGTTAATAAGTAAATGCCCCATAGGTTCAATGTTTTTCAAGACTGTAGGTCTTTTATACTACATGTTTATAGAAGTGTTTCTTTGTCTTTAAACAAAATGCTTCACCTTTATTTCAACTGCTGGTAATGATGTCTTAAAATAAAACTTGCTCAGCAACTTCACTCATCTTACAGACATGATGTTCTTAAAGCCCCAAGCCTACAATTGTTAAAGGTGATCAGATACAGCTCTTCTAGACGTCTGAACACATAGACTTCATCAGTTATGAGCTCTTGTTTCCTAAGTCAACCTAAGTCAATCAAATCTTCCATTAGGACACGTTAGATACTCCATATAGTACAGGCTGAAGAAAAACAAAGTCACAGTCAGTCTCCCAGTCTGACAGAATATATCTAAATGATATGTGCCACATTACTTCTCCCCATTAGAAGATTCTGCTGAGGTGCCTTCAGTGAAGAGCAGCCATGGCTTCTTCAGATGCTGAGATGGCTGTCTTTGGAGAGGCAGCTCCCTACCTCCGAAAGTCAGAGAAGGAAAGAATTGAGGCCCAGAACAAGCCTTTTGATGCCAAGTCATCTGTCTTTGTGGCACATCCAAAGGAATCCTTTGTGAAAGGGACAATCCAAAGCAGGGAAACAGGGAAGGTCACCGTCAAGACTGAAGCTGGAGAGGTGAGAAAAAAGCAAGCTTCAGATCA